TAGGTGATGTTATTTCAAAGTAGTAAAGCTACACAAATGAAAAGCATGAAAGATGCCGATTTTTTACATTTTTTAGAACTGTTATAGTATTAGCTCACATTTTTGACTCCCAAAAGGGAAACCAGAAGGAATCAGCTAAAATTAGATGTGAAAGATATATTGCTATGCACAGGTGGAACCCCTCTATTGTTTCTTCCCACTCCCCATTCTCCCACAACTACCTTATATGCACCAAGGACCACATAACATTAATTCACCAAGACAAGTGCTTAGCATTGAGTTCTGCAATGTATCTTCAGCTATCTGCAAGAATGAATCCTTAAGTATACTGTGATATTACTGATCAACACAGTTGAGGCCAAAATCAAGGTATAAGGCATTCAATTCAACATGAGCCATCAGCAACACTACAATTCCAACTTAAAAAATGAGGAGCAGCTGCTGTGCTCTCTGTATTCCACAGAACTCCTCATTCAGCTACATAACTGGAGGTAGCAGCTGGGAAAAGATGATGATAGAGTTTTCTTTTTTATCTAGGGATTTTAAAGTATGCCTGATTGCATATTTCTTTTCTATATTTGCAGAGGTCAGGCAAAAAGAGGGGAGGGAGGGCTTTCATTCTATGTCAACCCATGTTTGATCAGGGCTTCTCATTCTGCTGTGTCCTTAGACTGAGCCATGCGGCAAGATGCATATGAAACAGCTCATATTACTGATGGTGTCAGCCTTGACATCTCATGCCATATGAGAATGACTAACTGTTCTTAGCTGAGGAACAGATCCATCTTTATGGCCAGTATTCTGTAAAGTCAGAAAGTCTCCCATCCCCACACACTCTTTTAAAGACAGAGTCCTCAAGGGTCTCAAAACAGGCTCCATGCCCCCATCTATCCAACCAAAGTGCTTTCTGACATTGAGACAGAAGACTCCAGTACTGTTTTCATATGTTTTACACGTGACCAATGACACCCTCTACCATCACTGGGTCTGTCAATATACCTTTGATTGGGGTTCATAGTGGAGATTGTTGATCAGATAATCTACCAACACTTCAACACCATAAGAGAACTTTGTCAATAAAGCTTCTCCTTATCTTAACCTGTATCATGAAGACTAATACAACCTCAAATCTTCCTAGACTGTTCAATCCATTCAGCTTCTCAGTTTATTACCCTTTCTTTAATCTGTACCCATTTTCTCATTTGTAATACAGCTGTTTAAGAAGTCAAGTTTCTCTAGAAGTTAAGAGTTACCTCTCTGGAGTTAAGACCTTGAGATTAACTTTTACATTTTAGGTATCACTGCAAAAATATATACCTCTGTATTCAGTTTTCCAGACTTCCAGTTTCCACTTCTCAAGTGGTTAACAGAAGACCTCAAACCAGGAGCACCAAATTCAGTTACAAGCAAGCTTAAAAATTATGAAAAAAAATTGCTTGCCCTACTATTCCTCACTTGATTCTAGTCTCCATCTCCTAAACAGCAGAGACAGCTGTTCATTCCTGTCCTCACCCCACTGCCTCAGAAGACTTGAATCTGAAGGTGAGCAATGGAGTCAAGATACAGCAGGTGGAAGTGGGTGGGCAGATCTATCATCTTTTCCCTTTTATACTCTCCCTTTGATGGGGAAAGGAATATTTAGCCTCTTCAAGCTTACTCAATTAATTTCTTTCCACAGGATCCTGTCTATCACTCCAAGTGAAGTTTCAGCAGTCTACAGTATTAACACAGCTGGCATGTGGGAAAGTGAGACAAGATGCTTTGGTCAATGACATTTTCTCCCAGTTCAGTTCCCACATTACCTTTCCTTCGTACTTCCTGGCTGAAGTTTGGGAAAAAGTTGAATATATAAAAACCTCAGAGTGCACAGGCTACCAAGTTCAGAAAGGAATTAAAATAAGCCTTCAAGTATTTTAAAATAGGAGATTCCCTCTATATTTTCTTGGACTACACTAGTTCCCATCTTTCACCATTTTCTGTACCCTATATTCTTTAGCTCTTATTTCTTTTTCCAGTTAGGTTTCCTCCCTATTAGCCATTTTTGCTTCTGTAGATCTGTGCTAAGCTGAGAATAACAGGAAGGACAGGTTTCACTCTCTTGTTACAATTAGTCTGGCATTTAGTGTATACACTGAGGGGTTGTCAATTGAAGCTGTGAAGTAGGCAGCTGACCCTCTAAAAGGGACTCAAAGGTAGAGTATGGAGACTGCCAGCATGCCTTCTTCCTAACACACCCAGCTCATCAACTACAAGCAGATCAAGCTGAAGAGATATGGTCACACAGCAAGTTCTTCTAAAGCAGCACTGTTAACATCACATAGGATCTACTGAATCAAAACCAGCTGTCATAGGCCTCTAATTTCTCATGTTTCAAGAGAAGAATCAAAGACTTGTCTTAAAAAGCAGAAGGATCTAATAGGTCTTCAAGAATGTCAAGTGCATAGACAAAATTAGCTAAAAAGCCCTACTTGCCTAAAGCAATGAAAAACATACCAAGTTTTAAAAATAAAACACAGAAGCCTTTTTGGAGTCTAAAAATCCTACAGTAATACATGTCAGTGTATTCCTTTGCACAGCTATATGATATGCATTTCAGTAAATCTATGTCAGTTTTGTGAACAAGATAGGACTGCAGTCACACCAATTAACCAGAGCTGGTTCTACACATAGGCCAGGGACAAGCCATTCTTGCCATTGAAGCTGGGAAAGGAGGAAGAGAAAGTCGAGATCTAGGCACATTTTTCTCAATTCTTACTGCTTAAATCCAGCCTTTCATCCCAGAAAAGGCTAGCTCATTTTTGCCTCGTACTAAAAGTCCTTGAATCATTCTACCTACACTGCTGTTGGGCATTTAAAGGAAAATCCCATGGTTGAAGCACTCACCATTAGGGCATATGTAGTAAGCCATTTCATTATTCATCCTGCCCTCTCAGGCAATTAACTGAAGTTACAATTTAAAAGCAGGTGCTGAAGCTGTTAGGTACTACTCAGCACCTTCAGTATTATATTCACTACAAATAGAGGTATCCAAAAAAAAAAAAAGTATCTGTCACTATATCACTGCATTCAAAAACAGAAGTAGAACAAAGTCAAGTTAATATGGCTTGAGGACTATCTTGTCCAGCTTCCCTATGTTTCTAAACACCAAGCAATGTTAGCTCTATTTTCTTCCTCTGATCTAGCAAGAACCTCTTCTGTCCTGTCTTCAGTTTCCACCCCTTACTTTAGCCATAGAGAATCTTTATTAAAGCCTTATTATTTCTGAACAGGCATCACAAGAGGCACATCGTTTGTCTCTGCAACTTTAGAGGAACTACTTTTAGTTCAGATTGAATCTTAAGAATCTTACTTCCAGGGTCAAAAAACACCCCCAACTCCAACTGCGCTTTACTCAGAGCTTCAGAATGTGTAAGAAATTTTAAAAAGAAAATAAGGCAGTATAATCATTTTCGTTCTTCTGGGTTGAGTTCCCAATACATTAAGGAAAAAAAGAAACCAAGTTTTCTTATTCCTGTAATCCTAACCAACTAATCTTCCTGCCTCAGGAAACAAAGACCACCAGCTGCTCTTTTTTTAGTACGGTTCTGCATCTTTCTTCACATGGAGAGGTCCAGTCAGCCAAGTGTGGCAGAAAGCTCATCAGAAGCACAGTTTTGTGAACCCACAAAAAGGAAACTGTTCCCTTAAAGAGGGACCATACAGAAGTGGAAAAGTGGAAGATGGTCTGAGCTGATGAGATTCTTAAGGCATTTAGATATTTGCTTGAAACAGTTTACATACTCCAATCTACACACACTTAATACAGTAACTGTTCAAAAGTTAAAAACCCGAAGTTTTCTTACCCCACTAGAATTTTTTAAACAAGTCTCTAACTATGCAGAAACACAGAAAACTCTTAACTTCTGCAGGAGAACTAACGTGGTCTTCATTGCTAGAACTCAGCAATGAAGCCGCTCCCATCAGGGTGCATCATGCTGCACAGAAACTAGTAATCCAGCCTCTGGAGGCAGATCATCTCCCCTTGGATTCACTGGGATCTCCTGAGCTCTAGTGAGCTAAAACACTAGGACTTGAGGTGTCACAACCACATGCAAAGAACTTGAGTCTGAGATGAAAACACTACCAAGGCTGGTGTTAACTAAATTACAGACACAACTGGAAAATAATGCTTATCAGGTAATTACTTCGCCACAATAGCATTCCCCTCTTCCACCAGATTTCCAGATACCCAGTACCGCCTTTCATACTCAAAGATACAGGCTTTGCATCTCCCATCCAGTCAAGCAGGATGAATTGCCAGCTCTAAATACAAGTATCAGATGCTGCTAAAACCAGATCTTTTCATCTCTCCTACAAATACCTCTAACACCCAATCAGATATTCAAGTGATATCAAATGCTGATCCTGACACTGAAACAGGCAAACTGGAAAAAAGACCTTCTGGGAAGATTCATGTACAAGTGTATGCTTTTTCTGGTTAATTTTGCACATACCTGAGGAGCATGACAACCACCTGGCAGGCAATTTTTGATCCAATTTTGAGGTCTCAAAAACTGCGCATAGGCAAGCTCACAACACAGTTTGCTCAGGCATAGGTTTGGTTACAGCTGCTCCATGCAATGCTGAAGATAGTGTATTATGTTGAAATGAGTCTTTTAGCTTGTTTTTTTCCTTTCTTCAAACATGTTACTCTTATATCTATACCTTAAAGCCTAACTATATTCCTGATGGCATATCGCAGGTTTCACCAGTTTGCAGCAGTATCAAACCCACGGACCTAATTAGTTTCTTGTTCTGAGACTTTAGTTTGATCTGTACAGCTTGTGAGTGGAGACCTCAGGAGTACGTTTTGCACAACCCACACTGGTTTTAGCATGAATTGTTTAACTTGCTACCCCTAAAGGCAAGGGAGAGAAATAAAATGAGAAAGCTCAACAACTTTCTCTTTTATTAGCAACACCACCTTCTGTCAAGAATTACACCAGAATTTGCTTACTTACATCTAGTGAATCCTCATTGACCAGGATGAGAGACATACTCTGTGAAATGAGTCTGCAAGAGTACCCTGCAAGAGAAAACCACAAGGATTTATTTTTGGAAGAATATTTAAAGTTTAGCTAAACTTTAAGACAAGCATCTATAGTCAGATTAAAATTTACTTTTTGAACAGTTACTCCTACCAGGCAGGCTACTGGAAACATCGGTGTATAGGACACACTACAACTTGACAATTTTACTAGCAACAGAGGCTGCATTTTATCTGTATTTCCAAATACATCACTTGAGATGTTTTAACCCAAGAAAACACTGTATGACCTAGATGCAGTAAATACAAGTTATAGCCCCGCAGCAAAATTAAGTATTTCTATACCTAAACCTTTTTTTTTTTTTTTTAAATCTACATGAAGGCAGAATTGCCTTCAATACATTACAGGGATGGATCTATATGCACAGTTGCGGCTATGCCACATGACTGGAAGCATATACATTGAATCCATTGGTGCTACCAAGTTCCCTTAGCCCACACTTCAGTTACACAAGCATTTTTTGCTCCTGAGAGTTTTAGTGTGGAGTGTCCTGAGCTTCATTAAAGACTACAGATCAATGACACACACAGAACCCCTACCAACTCCTGTAGCCATCAGGTAATTGTACTAGATTATTCTTAGTGCAGGACTGCGACACAAAAGAACAAAAGCAAGTTGCCATAGTATGGAGCAGCACTCAGAAGGCAGTTCTGTACATTTGCCAGGACACCAAAATTCAAAGCAAAAACTCTCAAGACTGAAAAAGCCTCTTATTTTTGTAATAGTAAGTGCCAGTGACTGCAGTACCACTCAATGCCAGTGAAGTGGCAGTTCCTCTGCCACATGACTGTCGCTGACATGAGACAGTCATATCCAGGATATATACACTTGGCATTTACAGAATAAACAGTTTAATTCCAGCTCATAATAATGGCAAGAGACAAATGCAAACTCAGACTGACCCCTCTACATTATCCTAAAAGCTCATGCAAGTTCTCTTGGGATTGACACAGTCATGTAGCTTCATAAAACAGCAGAGAATTCATTTATTTGAAGCACGTGCCTTTTATTGCTGATTTGAGTTACACAGGAAAAGGAAATACAATAGAATTATTTTGTATTTCTACTGTGCTTTTATATAGAAATGAATCCCAGCAAGTTTAAGAAATTGCTGTCATAAAATGAGGTCTCAGGAAGTATTTTATTTTTCTTAAACAGAGAATGGAGGCTACAGCAGTCTAAGAGTAACATCCCAGTGATGAACCACTGCAAGGCTGACGGGTTCAAAAGCAGAACAGCGTAGTCAATGCAAAAAGATTGTGTCTCTCCATATCTCACAACGGCAAGAGAACAACTGAGGCATGAATTTCTTCTGTGGGATTCTTGGTTCCTTAGGCAGGCCATACTGGCTCATCAATTGCAATGCAAATAATTTCCTCAGGCTACAGAATTTTTATAATTGGGCAAGTTTTGAAGGTATAATTCAAGGTTAACTTGCCTGCATGAACAACTTCCATCAAGAAAGCAAATTGCTCATCTTCCTTTATGGAAGTCATGCTTATACCACATAGCCAGGCACTTTCAGGCAGCAGGTTTGATTACCTGCAGAAGTTTAGCTTCTCTTCCATTTTCACAGCTGTGTGGAATGTGAGTATCAGGTGCAACCTTGCAGATACATTTTCATCTTATTTGTGTTAACAAGCTAAGGTTTACTTTCTGATTTAGAGAACAATACAGGATGACACTGAACTCACACACACCTGTTGGGAAAAGGATGAAATAAATTCTAACGAAGTGCAGCCTACAACATGAAAGCTTTGCAGATGGCCTCTGATTCTGCCTCTGAACAAGACTTAGGTGGTAGTACAGAACCACATAATGAAGCTTCAACAAGTACAGACAAAACACTGACTTGGGAAAAAAGTCAGTTTGCCATTTTTAAAAGTTAGTCCAAGGCTGAAGAACCACTTCCTTATCTTTACTGAGAAGAAAAAGAGGATATTACTAACTTAAGCACTTCCCTCCGTGTCAGGGTTATTCTTTCCCCAGGGAATGGCAACAGCACAAATTCAGTGTAACTAATTCAAAAGGATTTTCTAGTAGCATTTGATTGGAGCAGCAGCTGCAATAGCAAGCTGTAATTTCTAAACCACCACACACTTTCATTTTACTTCTTTCAAAAGATGCCACCTGACAAGTGGAGCTGGGAAAAAAAAAAAAAAAAAAACAACCCTGTGGAAAACAGAGCTGCTCTGCTGTGCATCTTGGAAGTCATGGAGTCAGAAGAACTAATCCTGAAATTGAGGTCACTTTGTGTCTTGTCAACACATTAAACAGGAAGGAGATCAAGATTGGAATATGAGGATGCAAGTCAAGCCTAACAACAGTTTATAGAAGATCTATACATTATGTACAATTTCAGGACTATGAAGATGTTAGAAATCTAGCACTAGTATAAAACAAGGTAACTGGCAACTGTAAGATAAGTGACATTTGTAGTCATATTTTAAAGTTTTATAATAGTTATTACTGGCAGTACAAACATGGTAAGCAAAAATACACTAAGAACAGGGCATATTTTTGTCTATGCTTCTGAGTAGAATAAAATTAACTGCCAGTTCAAAGCCAGGTATAAAATGTTAATGCATACCTGTAAGTTTTTATCTTAAATTTAGAAGTCTGACTAAAAGTCCATGAAGCAGATGCATCAGGTACTTCTGGTAGTTATTTCCCTTCACGTGTCCTGGGAGAAAAAGACTGCTTGAACCAGAGTTCAAGATCATAGCCCACAGGCACATTTGTACTGCAGGCAAACAGAATCCAGCATCTGTAGCCAAGAATGAGTATGCTCTGTGTTCAGAGAGGGCACACATGCCCTGCCCAAACTTCACATAGGGATACAGGCAAGCATGCTGGCATTGCTTCCATTCCCTCAACTGGAAAAAAAAAAATTTAAAAAAATTTCACAGCTCGCTGTAACAAAAGTATTCTTACCTCTAAACTGGAGAGATACGGGTTTGATGGATGGACTGTTAAATAGATAAGGAATTGGCTGGACGGATGCACCCAAAGAGTTATAGTCAATGCCTCAACTTCCAAGTTGAAACCAGTAATGAGTAGCATCCCTCAGGGGGCAGTCCTGGGACCAATACCATTTAGTATCTTCAGCAGTGACAGACAGTGAGATTGAGTGCACTCTCAGCAAGTCTGCAGACAGCACCAAGCTGAATGGTGCAGCTGATATGCTAGACGGAAAGGGTACCATCCAGAGGGTCCTTGACAGGCTTGAGGAGTAGGCCCATGAGAATCTCATGAAGTTCAACAAGGTCAAGTGCACCTGTGTTGCAGCAATCCCAAATATCACTCAGTACAGACTGGGGGATGAATGGATTGAGAGCAGCCCTACTGAGAAGTACCTCTGGATACTGGTGGATGAAAATTGGACACGAGGTCCCACCTGGAATATTGCACCCAGCTCTGGGGCCCCTAGCACAAGACAGACATGGGCCTGTTAGAGCAGGTCCAGAGGAGGGCCACAAAAGTGATCAGAAGGCTGGAACATCTCTCCGATGAAAAAAAGCTGAGAGAGTTGGGGTTGTTCAGCCTGGAGAAGAAAAGGCTCCAGAGAGACCTTTCAATATATAAAGGGGGCTTATAAGAAAAATTGAGAAGGACTTTTTACCAAGACCTGTAATGGTGGATCAAGTGGCAATGGTTTTAAACTGAAAGAGGGCAGGTTTAGACTGGACATAAGTTTTACTAAAGGTAATGTAAGTTCAGTTATAGAGCATCACAGTTTTGCCAGGATGAGCCCGAAATACACCTAGACCCATCTACATGCAGTTCTCTACATAAAAAGCTTCACTGGTCACATTTTTCATATAGTTACAGAAACCTGAAGTCAGCATGAGCTTGAGAAGGCTAAAGAAATAGCTCCTTCAACAGAAGGCAGCCTAAGGATCCCCTTAACCTACACCTGTACATCTAAACAGACTAATCCGCAAATCTGACTGCAATTGTGGATAGTACTTTACATGGGCACGCTAGAGACAGTGAGGATAAGCAGAGTGTTCTAGACTTAAGAAACAAGGTGAAAATGTCACTCAGTTCTGCAAAACATCAGATCACCAGAGTGCCACTCTGCCTCTTTCCATTTCTGGGCAGATTTACCAGTTACAGGGAGAAAAATCATCAAAAAGAATACAAGAGCATCATGGCACTAAATTGCCAAGGATGCTATATTCAGGACATATGTGATGTCATGGGGTGGGGTGCTTGTATCAGGATCTGTTCCTTTACTAAGTCTTTACTACTCAGTTAAGACCTGGATAGCCCTTTTCCTAGGAGGCTACTAGTGTTCTGTGAAGGGCTGAAGTACACTAGCAGCATAGGCATAGCTCACAAATTAGCATTTTAAGCACGGCAACATTCTGTGACAGCACAAGGTACTGTTACCCAGGCTGCCCACTTTGCAAGCATCCACAATGAGAAAAAAGCTGAAGGATTTGAGTTTTGAGTCCTTACTAGACCTACTCATGTGGCACAATCAGTGTAAGACCAGCACAATAGCAGTAGTGCTACAGAGCACAACATCTAGTTGCTATAGGACTGAAATTACAATGTGCACCTCCAGTTCAGCCCAGCCTGACAGTAAAAGCTTTGTATTTGACAAACTACAAGTAGAGTTGGGCGTACAGACTGATTTTATAAGATACATTTAGGTTTCCTTTTAGGTCATAATGTTTAAGGGCTGCTTCTAATAACAAACCTAAACTTACAGTGCTTTTATGTGGCAAAAACAGGTAGTCAGATAAACACCTATGGCTTAAGTAGGTTACCATTCTATTACATCAGTACCCAAGCACACCTGTCTGATAAATACTTTAATTTGTACTTTTTGTTCACATCATTGCAAGACTTTTTTTGCATTACAAAGAGTGTAATTTCTAAGTTAAGATGCATCAACAAGTTTGAAACAAGGATATCCATATTGTGCCTTGATAAACCAATCCATATTAAACGCTATCCTATCACTCAATAGCAGCAACACACTTCCACTAACAATCACGACATACTTGACTAACAGATGTGCCACAGGGTGACAGCAGAAGCAGTTCAGTTATTCAAGTGTCCAGCTACTTTCACAGACAAGATTTGCAAAAAGTTGTAAGCAATACCCTTTGTATTACCGTATTTCCCATCATATCCCAAACTCCATTAAAGTCTAGAAAAGGCAGTCAGTAAGAAGAACGAAAAAAAACCCATAAAGCAGTTTGATATAATGCACAGTATAACTGAAACATTACAGTCTGGCTGAGCTCTCCAGTTTCCATCAGAATGCAGAGTTACCTATATTCACTCCGTACAAGAATTGCACTTAACTAAGAGCAGAGATATCCCTTTTTCCTTAAAAAAAACCTGAATATAGCCTGACACTCAGAGCAAAGACTTCACTCCAACCCCCCCCCCCTTCCCCAAAGTGAAGGCTAGTGCATGCCTGTCTGCTACCAAGGAACCATTCTATGAAAAGCAGGCCTGTTTTAGTTTAAACCCACACACAGCAGATCTAGCATGTAATCTGCCACATGTCAGACAAATTCAGAGTAACCAGAAAGATGGATACCTATATTGAGAGCTGTTTCCTGCTTGTCCCCCGTCAGAATCCATATCTTAATTTCTGCCTTTATTAGTGTGGCTATTGTTTCTGGAACACCTGCTTGCAGGCGGTCTTCAATGGCTGTAGCTCCAAGAAGCAGTAAATCCTGGAAACAAGAATTTGAGGAATTGTTTTCTTAAAATAAACCTCTGTTTAGAACACACTCAAAAAGGAATTAAAGATAGCACATTGCACCTCATTGCTAATACAGCATTTTGACAAGCAATATACACTACAGTAAGTTTCTGGTGTGGTTATTTTATTTCCTCTGCATACAATTCTCATTTCGAGAGGCACAGAATGGAACCAAGTGTTTCTGATCAGAAAGATGGCAATGTTTCAAGAGCAATTAATTGAAGTTATACAACTCCAAAGCTAGCCTACAGATGAACATATATACTAGAGCATTCACTAATCACCATAGCAACATGATGAGTGGTCACAGTTACATATTTCTTAAGCTCAACAGAACAAACGTCAGCTGACATCACATCATTTAAACTCATTTCCCCCCCATAAAATGTACATACAGACTGGATACAATCACTCAAAGAAAAAATTATTGCAACTATTTATTGATATAATCACTACATTTATGTAATGCAAGTGGTATGAACATTAATCAATCCAAGTACCTCTAGTCTACATAGAGATGTCTGCCAGAAAAACATGTCTCATACAAAAAACTTAATACTACAAGAGTTAGCCATAGTCTTATACAATTCTAAAGCAATTGCTTGAAGAGATTTGGCCATGTTATGGAAAAAAAAGTCAGGCAGACAAAAATACCTAAGAAATTGTGCCTTTTGACGTTTATCTACTCAGCAGATTTTAACTTCAAAAACATTTTAATGATTCCTTAGACATGTAAAGATGTTCAATTTAAAAGAAATTTATACAAACTGAGTTCAGTTATAGTGTATCATTTCAGGAATTGCACAGAAAAAGTAACAGCTTCTATTCTTTGTAGGGACTATAATTATCCAAAACAAGTGAAAACAGATTAAGTGAACAGAAGTAGTTAGGAGAGTTGGTGGTGTTCAGCCTGGAGAAGACAAGGCTCCAGGGGGACCTTATAGTGGCCTTTCTATATATAAAGGGGGCTTATAAGCAAGATGGAAAAAGACTGTTTACAAGCGCCTGCAGTGACAGGATAAGGGGCAATGCTTTTAAATGGAAAGGGGCAGATTTAGACTGGACGTAAGGAAGAAATTCTTTATGATGAGGGTGGTGAAACTCTGGAACAGGTTGCCCGGAGAAGCTGTGGATGCCCCATCCCTGGAACTGTTTGAGGCCAGGCTGGATGGAGCTTTGAGCAACCTGATCTAGTGAAAGATGTCCCTGTCCTTGGCAGGGGGAGTTGGACTAGATGGTCTTTAAAGGTCCCTTCCAACCCAAACCATTCTATGAAGAGGGCATTAGAGCACCTCCTGCTTGTATGCATCTATGTATGCATCAAGAACAGAAGAGAAAGCTGTTATTCCTACAGGTGTGTATGCTGGCATTAGTTACAGGTCTTGACAAAGCTTAAGTTTTGTTATGAGATATGCAGCTGGTAAAGGTGGTAGAATCAACTCCCATAAGTCCTTTGCTTTAGCACCCTACAGCCTCCTGATGAAACATTAGCCCTATCAATGCTAACAACACTTGAAGGTTACAAACGCCCTCCAAGTGTGCAACTGTAGATTGTCTTTTATTGCCAAAATCACTTGTTAAGTAGTTAAACATGAGAGCACAGGGATCAGCATGGCTGAGCTACCCGAGCAGGGGAGTTACTATTGCACCTGCTGAAGCCCTCTCAGCCAGTGTACAGGTGGGGAAGGGAGCAAGTTCAAGTTTGTCTCCACATGTGCACCTGTACTATGATCCAGTGACATCACTTAGACTGACAAAGTAGCTCTCCCACTCTCATTTGAGCCTTTAGATGAAAAATTGGCCTGTTAAAATACACTGGATTTTATGTTACAGCCACAAGCCAGTTCAACATCTAGAAAAAAGTGCCTACACACCAAAGAATTTAACCTGGGAAATACCAGCTCTAAGAAAAAAAAAAAATGAAGTTTCAAGTGCAATTCCCTGCTCCTTCATACGAGCAACAAGCAAACATTAACAGGAAAGAAATACACTGCATATTTCCTACCAATACAGCACTAAGTCCGAAACTCCAGTTCTACAATCCACTCATGGGTCCCCTTTTTTCAAGATACTGAATTGTAAAAAGACACAGAAGGTAGACAGCCAAAAATTATCTAAGATTTGAGAACAGATGTTAAAGAGAATCAACCCACGTTCATTTTTTCACCTCAGTGAAAACAGAGGAGTACAAGAGCACAGTGCAGGAAGCAGAGAGCTGAAAGGAGCAATGCAAACCTACAGAATCAAGGATTAGATAGCCACACTGCTACTGACAAACGCAAACAACTACTTCAGGTGTTAGTTTGAAAAGCAAGACCCAGTCTTCAGCTATTACTTAAAAGAATTCTGTTGCCCTATGAAAGGTAGCTCCCATCCTAGCCTCAACCTCCTTCCCTCTTCTGCTCCAACTAACTTAAATAATCAACAGTGCTCCAGAACTTAAGTTGCATTGTTAATATTAATTTTAAAAGAAACTGAAGTTCAAAGTGTGTTTTAAAGAAACCACTAAATAAAATGAGAGTGAAATAATTGGAGTCAGGAGAAAGAGCATGAATAAGCGTAGGTCAGGAGTGGGACTACCAGCATTTCAGGAAGCAGTAAGACCAACACACAGTAAAGAAACACTGGCCCCTAGTGTTGACTTTTTAACTTTTCACTCAGTGTCAGATTAATTCCAAACTGGTTCTCTGACACCCACCGTTCCCCTGTCCCCTGTCCAGAATTATGAGTTCTGCAATTTGTAAGGCTTTTTTTCAATTTTTTCAGTCCATGTGACTACAGGCCTTGGTGAGGACTTTGTTTTGTCTACAACATCTACAACAGCCTTCAGAAAACCTGAACTGTGACTGCTGTACAAAAAGGAACAAATTCCTCTTCATATACTTCTTCCCATATACATGGGAACTTGGTGCAACACAACAATTTTATATATTATCTTTATCAAGTTATATCAACCTTACACAAGATAGCAAGATAAAAAGAATATGAGAAAAGAATTTGTAAGTAGCAATGAGCTTTTATACTGAGTTAGTCTCAGATTTATGAACTAAAATTTGAGACACCTATGGACTGAACAGGTTGCCAACTAAAAATACCTTTTCAGTTTCTCATGAATGAAATCAATGGTTTGTTTTACTGTATAAAGCCCAAATTTCATGGAAAAAGACACATGTAAGGGAATCTGTATCTGTTCAAAAAAGTACGCATCCTACCTTTTCAATGATCTCATAGCATTCCTCTAGCTTCTGAGTTCTGTCTTTCAGAACTGTACTGCTTTCATTGTAGACATTCAACCACTCTCTGTAAGAGTTTTCTGACAGGTCTGCATAAGCAATGCACAAAGTCCTCAGACCTACAAAACAGAAGACAGCCATTACACCCAGTAAAATTACACAGACTATCAGCAAATCATTAATGCCCTAATTAATGCTAAATTCTAACCCTCTCACTGGAGCCAACAGGAGCAAACTCTGGATTCCAGAAAAATCTCCCAGAACATTTTTAGAGCATTTGGGTTTTCACAAATGTGAAACAAGAGTCTGGCTCATTTAGGTTACTAATGTTGGTGCAAATCCAGAGAGCCTAATGGGCACAAACTTCTTCCTGATTTTCAGTATTGCAATCTAGCCATAGTAGAGCAACAAAGGGGTCATCTTTAATCTTTTAATCTTTTTAGTTTAAGTATGAAAGCAAGCTTGGCTTTTATGTATTTTTGAAAAGATCAAATTAAACAAAGAACTGGCTACATATTGTGATTGGAGATATTACTTAGTCAGGCATCCTGCACAGCCCATGTTTCCTTTTAGGAAGACTGTTTTCTCCTTCAGTGTATGCACATAACTCACATTAATAATGGGAGTTACACATGCACAGAAGAGTAGAGGATAGGGCCCATGAAGTATGAAAACCATTTTATTAAACAAAAATTAACACACAGAATTAATGATTTTTTTCTGGCATGAGTCAAGCAGAAAGGAGCGTGTGCCATAAAATACAGAAGTTTAGTTACTGAGAATGTGGGAGCCTGCAAAAAAAAAAATTTTTTTTTTTAAAAAGCAAATAAATGATGTTTTCCAATTTAGGAAGAAAACCACTGGTTCATGGTTTTACTATAATGCAAATATTTTCCGCTACTGCAGAAGAGGGAACAAAGCCAAGTACTCCCCTGTGAATGGAGATGTTACATCAGCTGTAAAGGCCTTAGAGACCATTTCAGATTATCTTTGATGTCATGGTCTTCCAGGCTTCTCAGCACGTTCAGGTTATCATTCTGGCTTCATAAAGCCAGGGACTTTATCATTTGACTCTTACACTGGCAAAAATACCTCTAACTCCAACGTAATTGAGGTGTTCCGGGCAATAGAACTCATGCCCTTTCCCTTCATCATGGCCACACAGAACTCCACCTTTTCCTTTCAAATTCCATTTCCCTACTAAAAGCGCACAGAAGCAGGGCACAAACTGCCTTAGGCTTAAAGTTATCCTAGAGATGTTAATTTCCTGATTACACACCACTTCTTAATTTATCTTCATAACCATCTTATTTGGCGCTGCAAAGCTTAACAGTGCAGAACGTACTGCAAGTAATTTCGTAAATTGAGTTCTCATAACATGCTGTTTCTCTTACCTTCTGTTGCAAAGTATTCAAGATGGCACAGCGTTTGTTCCATGTACTGGGAATCTTTTGAAAGCCTCTCAAAAATTACGTTATCCTATTAAAACCAAATTCATTACAACAGAGTAAGTCTACATATGAAGTTCCCGTTTGTTTATTTACAACATCAAGTGAAGTAACCTGAGTGGACTTGCTAATATCAGAACCCAAGACTATATATGCATTTGGGTTTTAGAAACTCTCGTTTGAGTAACATGCATTGTGCCCAGTAGCAGAGATACTGCATCCACTTTAAATAAGGCGGACAGAAGCACACTCTGCCCTCCTCTCCTCTTTCCATAAAGAAGTTCCCATTATTGGACAGTACAGAACACTGCTTTCTCAATTACTAAGCAGATACATTGATTTTCAGAGAATGTAAGTGTCTAGTCTTATTCAGTACACATTGTAGTCCCATACAGAAGAACTTCTTGCAATCGTTTCCCAAAGAGATTCCCATTGATGTTAAAAAAAACAGAAAGCAGAAACACTGAACAGGTTCTACCACAAAATTCTCCCAGAAATAACCTTCATCCTGCAGTAACCTTCTCCATCACTAAATCAAAGGGCAATTGAAAAGGCACAGGAAAAAAAGTCAAGTCAAAATGAAGCACCATCACTTACGTATCTAGAGTCTCTGGATTTTATTCTGCAACTACAAGAACAAGTTCCTACATACATGTAAAATATGCAAACCCTGCTTTTGCTTTTAACCTAAACAGGCCTACATCTACCACTGATTAGGCAGGCATACAAAATAGGTAATTTATGATGGATGTGACAGGATGGGAGATGACTATCAGAATGCTGAAGAGTTCACATAGAATAGGCAGTTAACTTACAGTTTAGATGAGTGGTGAATGCAGCAAACATACAAGACAAAACACCAGATTACACTAATAACTTTTGCTCTGTTAGACACCTAAGTCTGCTCGTACAGAAGACGGCATGAAATTTTTTACTACAAACTCTCCTGTTCTTCATCCCTTCCAGTGCCGCACTCCAAGAAACAGTGTGAACCCAGGCATGGTATTAGCGACAAGTAGTTGCAGATCTGTGCGATCCTACTAGGCATACAGCTTTGAAATACTGCACAATGACAGCGGGCTTAATTCACTCCCACCATACCAGCATGAAGCTAGCACATCTTTATCACATCAGCGGAGTTAAACTGAAGCAACAGAGCAATGCACCCAGACCTACATGTCAGGACAAATTCAAGCAAACCAGATCCTTACAGAAGTCAGGAACAGTCTTCCCCGTTGCAAAAAGCAACCTGCATGGTTTTCCATTGAAATTAGAACCACTCTCTGGCTGTGGCCAATGCTAGTTTTGCAGTCTTTGTACTTTGGTAAATTATTGCTCTTGTCAGCGAAGACAGAAGAACAACATGGTGCGACTCACGACAACAAATAACAGCAGGTGCAGAGATGCAAGAGCCAGATCAAGAGCCAACCACTTGAGAACAGATTTTAGTATTACAGATTCAGACAACAGCATTTAGTCTAGCTCCCAAACTGCTGCTGCACAGCTGGGCAAAATCCTGCCTTTGCATAAATAAAGGGTACTGCTCCCATTAGTTTCAGGATTTCAGCTGGGTAGTAGAAAGCCCAGCAATCTTCCTGCCTGCAAGAAGAGTCAGAGGAGGAATGACAGATCTCCTAAATCACTTGGCCCTGAACAGAAAGCCAACAGGTACTATGTATGAGACATGAAATGCCAGCATCAGCCACAGCTGTTTAAACAATAGCTGGTAGTGTTAGTTCTCCATTAGGTACCGTAATTACTTACAGCCCCTTTGCAGTAGAGACGTAGCTGTCCTGCTGGAGTTCGAACAATCACTGACATTCTCTTCCTGTTGCTATTGAAAGAAAAATATTTGCTTTCATTAGTCACAGTGATGACGAGTACATCCTGTTCTAGCCAGTGAGTTTTCTCAGATGTGCTGAGCAGGTGAGATGTAACAGTAGTAACTTAAGGCCCCACAATCCTTGACAGCAAGGAGGAGAAACACTAAATTGTCTATTTCCAGCTTCAGCCCTATGGCTCCCATTGGTGCGCACTCAACCAGAACAAAAGACTTGCACCCAAATGGGAGCAAGAATTTGGAAAAGAGCAAGATTGCACAGAAATCCTTTTGAAAGAAGGGGAGTCACATTTATTATCAGCTTTTCGTTATTCCTCAAAGCAAAATTGTTTTGGGGCCTTGGGCTAGAAATGGAATCATTAAGGCCAAATGTGTATTTATTAAGGCATAACAGACACTGAAATAACCACCCACTGACAAGGGCAGTTATTTAACTTCCTAACTCAAAAGAATACAGAAATGTCACGGAAAGGAATCATCGTATAGACCAGCTCTTGGCCTCCCTATAGGTTCTTCATATTGGTCTAATCAGACCTACATAGATGGGATTATGCAGAACAAAGTCAGACCCTCTGAGCAGGGCTGCATATCAAGACAGTCAATTTTCAGATATATTTTTAAGATAAAAGTCAACAGTAACATACTGTACACAGATGTTTAACAAAGGAAGGTAGGCAAGGATATATACATGTATTTTTTAAAGATCAATTTTGGCCTTTCACTTATCAATCTCTCCTTTAAAAGAGCCACTGGAAAAAAAATGCAGCTTCTAAGAGGCAGAGGCAAGCAAATCAACTCTCATCAAGAGAACCCCAAGAACACGTGGTTTCATATTCAAAAAGTTAACTGTAATTCTTTTCCTTAGCGAAAGGAGAACTCAAAAGCATCCTCCTTCCTCGTTCCCTTCTTGCCAATATGTACAAACAGATCAGAGTGTACAGTCATCTTCCTCTTCCTCCTCTGAAGTTCCTCTGGGAAATCTAGCCCCTTTTCAGGGCTCAAGAACCATGTGTAACAAAGTAAGCTCTTGGCATGTATGATCAGATAAAACAATCCTTTCTGAGACTTTCTAAAGAAAGTCTGGAAGGATAGCAATTAGCTGTGCCCAGAATTTCTGCAGCAAGCTAATGACACTGGGAAACTTCCTTGTGCTTTTTGAAATCTAATTACAGTACCTCCCTCACTGGTCAAGTGGGAAGTTGCTACACACAGGGAAGAGCCAAGACAGCTCTTTTCTGCTGCATGCAGGCTACAGCTACTCCTGTCTACAGACACCAGGGTACTTACTGGTCAACTCGTCAGAAACCCTAAAAGACTCTTCTAGTACCTTTTAGATATTCCCACAAGTAGCTTAAGTAGCTACATTTGGAATGAAGAGGGGAAAGTAGTCAAGAGTAATCTTCAAAGCAAGCCAGGACATAAGAAAAGCTGCCTACTTAAATCTTCCCTGACGTTAGTTTTGCATACTCCTTTAGAACAGAACCAGCCAACTCAGAGTGCAGAGAACAAGACTCCAAGGCTTGACTCCAAGGCTTTAAACCACAGTAAGAGTAGAAAAAACAGCAGAAAAGGCTGTTGATTAGCATCAAACTGACAAAACTTTATCAACTGACAAAGAAAAAGCACCTTTTATCATCTGCAGTGATTTAAGGGCCCAGTTCCTCACACAGAGCTTCTTGCTACCCAAGCAGTACCCATCCTAACTAGTCTGAGCAGTCAGGAGTGCTTGCAAGGTTTAGTTTTTCATAGCTGGAGTGGTTCTTAAAACGGGGCACCAAAAAGCCCTCCAGCTGTCGATTCCACCTACTCAAAAACAAGTGATTTACAGAAGCACTATAAAAGTGCAATCTCAAAGCACATTTTTGAAGTAGACAAGTAACATCAGGAAATCAGTGAGGCACAGAATGACACTTGCAGGGCAGCAACTTCTCAATAAAGCCAACAGAGCTGGAGTGGCAGGGGAGAGCTTTATGCTCGCGTGCCAACAGCCACCAGTTTGGAAGAAGCTCTGTATTAGCCCTATATTGGAAACAAAGAAATGGAGGGGCAGGACAAAATTAAGGAAGTTTGGCTTATACAGTTCTACTGCGTGAGCTGAATCTTTTTATTCTCAATAATGTTTTTACAAAAATGGTTTTCTTGTTACCCTGAATTTAGTGTATTAGAGGAAAACTTACCTGGAAAACTCCAGCACGTTAAGAATTTCAAATGTTTTTTCTTTTCCCAGCTACAAAAGAAAGCATGTACTATTGTAAGCATAATTTGCAGTATATTCTTACATGTGTAAACGTGTAAGTTGGTTAAACACCTTTGTTTATGCATCCCAGTGTAACTCAAATGTGGTAATAGCTCCCTCTCCTGGTAAAAGTGATGTAGAGCTCTATTTAATGAAGGCATTCTAATCTTACTTGAACTTTTAATATTGTGGCATCCTCCATTTACTTTTTTTTTTTTTTTTTTTTTTTTTTTTTCCCGTATTTCAGGGAACCAATATCTTGCTCGAGAAGGATAAGCATGTTCTGGAAGTTAAACTGCATATTTACTTCTTAACAGCTATCAACTAAGAGGCATATCGGGTTAGCTCAGTTGGTTAAAGCATGGTGCTAATAACGCCAAGTTCACAGGTTCAATCCCTGCTCACTGCAGGGGGGGTTGGGCTCGATGATCTCTCAAGGTCCCTTCCAACTCAAAGCATTCTATGATTCTATATTACAGACTGTGAGCATTATTCCAAGTTAAGAAAAACATGCCATCCAGATTTGGTATTACATTAGCCTTCGTCTGAACTGCCTCAGTATTTCTTTTACTTGAATATACAAACCTATTATTTTTTTTTGTGACAAAAAATGGTTAACTGAGGAGTAATTCCTGTTATCACCATGCTGGGGTTGAGCCGGAGCAACCTGAGGAGGGAAAAGGGCTGTAGCAAAATCTAATCACAGTAGAGAGTTATTTCCTGTGAGATACATATCAATTCAGCAATATCCCCAAAGCCAAAAGCTGTCTCCAGCCCATGTTACATGTACTGCCACAGATGTGGGCAATGAGGAGAGACAGGAACCTCTGGGAGTGACAGCTTTTATGGCTGGCTATAGACTGACCATGCTCCCAGCTTGGCATGCATGAGGAGTATAAACTAGGTCAAGTGGGCCTGGGTCTTCCTGCAGAGAACCACCAGCTAGATAGCTCTAGATGACACTGCTCATCCTAAGCTCTTCCCCTTAAACTAAGCAGCAGTTTTCTGAGTAGTTATAAAAAGTTTGTGACAAGTCCTAGAAAGATCTATGTTTCAAGCGGCTAGCTTGGCAGTATACCAAAAAACTTCAAAGTGAATGCACCTGAAAGGAAGGACAAAAATACATCCATTATTCTTAATAAATACCCTACTATGTATACCAGAGACAAGTTCTCATCTTAGCTGCACCTGTGTAAATCTGAATCCACTTTAGCTTAGACTGCAACTAAGTCAGAATGTGGCCCCATGAGTTTGAGACTGGCTGTGTCAACTCTGATCCATTAACTACACACCCCTGCATACAGAGCTTGTTAAGCAGGTACATCTTCTACAGATCTTACTCAGAAGAATAATTCAATTTTAATACAAGAAATCAAACATTTACAAGTACAGTAACTGTTAAACATTAATAGTTAGAAAATCTCCCAGACACATTAATTTCCTTCTGATGCGAGTGTGCTCATGTATGCCTCCCAGACAAGGGAAATATTCTTCAGGCACAAGTGCTGTCATTTCCCTTATAAGCTTGCAGCTTCCTATTGCCCATGCCACACAGAAGGGCAGAGGACTTTGCATCAAAAAAACAGGAGTAAGACAACTTTTCCTAGTCTGCAAAAGCCTTCTGCATGTAGCACCCTAAAGGCCCTGTAAAGGGGAACTCACAAGAATCACACAGGAGACATTTATGCTCTGCATGAGCTTGGCAGTCTGTACCATGCACATCTACTACTTACCGCATCAATGATAACCGAATGTGGAGTCCGTCCTGTGAAGACGTAACCAAGTTTTTTTGCTCCTTTCACTAATGCCCCTTCATCTGCCAATACAAGAAAAGCTTAAGTTTAATCTGGTATGTAGAAGAGGCCTGCAAAGCCTATACTTAAATATGCCATGCTGCCGAAACGCAGAAGTCCCTTTCCTCATGTACTTGCATATCTGCAGGGCTGCCAGAATAGCCTCTGCACACACTTCCACAAGAACATTCACATTTTAGTCCTAAAACAGCCATGTAATATCAACTACACAAACTTAATACTCAATCTGTATAAAACAGCCTGTAACTACTGAAGCACAGAACTCTATTGTTGCGGAAGAGTCATATTTTTCTACATGAAAAAGGGAAAATCCCTATTCTGAAAGCAAGATCAAAGCTATGTTACTTTAAGTTCCTACAACATGCATTTAATCCATTTCCTGCTATAAAGGCACTAAGTTCAGGTGCTATACAAATAAGTGCAGCATTGTCTTCTGGAGACTGAACTGGGTAGTGTCATTAAGAGCTCAAATAACCAAGCTGAAACCAAAGTCAACACCTCCACCTCTAGTACGTAGTTATACAGCCTTGTTAAGGAGCAAGTTGCATTAAGCACAACCACCATACAAGTGAATTTAGTGCCCAGCTCAAGCAACCCTCATGTCTCTACAGCTCCCTTGGTCTCCTCACAGTTCATCAACACTGTGCCTAGAACTGCCTTACTGTTCACCCCACTCTTCAGACACTTTAAGACAAATAGGAATGCTGCTGCTTTATCACTCAATACATCACTACAACAATTCTAGAAACGTCCTCAGAAATGGAGATAAATTTGATGGAGAACAGGGCCCTACTGTTCTGCATTTCAGCCCTGCCTACCTCTTTCAGTACCACTGTGCCACCTGAAAGAAGAAATGGGTGAAGCGCAGGCCCGAATATGGCCAAGACTCTGCTCTTTGTTGTATTGTGTCATATATCAGCATCTTGTATCTGCATAAAGCAACATGGGAGGCTCCTAGATCAAGACAAGCAGTTTGCACTCATGCCAAATACAGCAAGCAACTTGTTTATGTGGAAACAAATCAGTACTTCCATACATCAGCTCTGTGAGAAAAGTTTTACTTTTGCTTTTCACCCCTGCAGAAAGAAGCCAGAGTAGAAGGTCTCATGAGAGCAGAAGGGATCATAAGCCCAGCCTAGCTTAGCTCTACAGAAACATCATAGACTTGGCAGTTCTGTATGAGGCATTCAAAAGCAGTGTGCACTGCTGACAGAAGATGCCAGACCTACTGCTAGCATCATGGAGAACATCTTGCTTTTAAAATCAATGACCATTTAAGAAATTTCTGGACTTTCCTTCCATCCCCCCCCCAATCCATCTACTTCTACTCCCTCACTCCTTCCCTCCCCAAAAAGACAGTAACAACCAACCTGGAGAGGAGGCCTGGTAGATTATTGTATTCCCTTGTCTCTCAGGAACGACAGTATGACACACAGCCAGCAGAGTCAGGAACTCCTGTATGTGCACAGCTGTGGGCTGGACAGGACATCAGAAGAGTCAGGTTTAATATTACACACCAACCTGAGAAGACCTCTTAGGTCCTACAGACAAAAAAAAAAATATTCTGTCCTCTGTTCATAGTAGTTGTCTTGTTCCCAGAACATCAATACAGCAGAGTTAAGGACCAGCATTAATGAACTAGAGTGCTGATGATAAAGACCTCACTTAAGTTGCAAAGAGCTGGGAAGCCAGAGTATTTCCCCCCTGCCCCCAAACATAAAAGCATTAGTTCTGTAGCATCCCAAGCTTCATATAGGCAGAGATGTCTGCCACAAGATGCTGATGATAAGCAAGGAACAGGAAATACTACTTAGGTAACTTCCACAACAGGTTTCAATAGATTGACAGTAACCACACCAGAATTAAATTCATTGCAACTGCATCACTTAGTGATGAACATCCAGAGCTGACGGCAGCTGATTAGCCAGTAGAAAGCAACACCATGTGCTCTTCCACAGAAATACATCATCCAGCCAAGCAGAAACTTGATCAATGGTCCCTACACATTCAGCATCATGAGAAGACACAACATAAAACATTCTTCACACACTGCATAGTCAGCAGCCATCCCAAAGTGCTTAGAGACACCAGGTCTACAACTCAGTGAAGATGCTATGGCACTTAACTCTGATCAGCAAATTCTGGATTTCCCTATCCCATTCTTCCCTCCTTTTCACTCCTGCCTCTGGCACAGCATTTCCAGTCTCATAGCAGTTCGGAATGGTACTCAGCTGCCCAGCTCACAACCTGCCATACTAACTTCATCCACAGTTCTCACAGATCTGTAAGACACTTGGCTGAAACAGCTGAAGTGAACACATGTTCCCCTTCACCAACTCTGCTATATCTGTAACAGCCACAGTTGGTAGCATCAAAATCTTATGTCACAGCAGCCGTTTGCTCAGTGACTGAGTCAGACATGAACTTAGCAGTTCTACCTTTGCAGAAAGCCTGAGTTGACTCTGCAAACTCTCACAGAATTTTTACATACAAGAACATCATCAAACTACCAAAGCTTTCATTAGCATAGCATATTTTATATATACTTTGTTTTAACAGAGCCACTACAAAATCAAAAGCGTTACAAGAGCTGTTTGCACAAGGTCAGACCAAAACCCCACTATTGTATTATTAAAACCAAAATCAGATGGAGAAGAATCCTACAAGATTCTAGTAAAACAGGGTTAATTAAAAGATGCTTCTACACAATTTGTTATGCTAGTGTACACCAGAATGTTTCAGAACAGTAAAAAAGGCTACAATGTTCAAATGAAACTTTTTCAAGTGAAAACTACATGCCAGCAAAAATCCTCTGATATGAGAGACTTTGTAGTACATGTATTTTTCTAAGACTAGATACAGTACTATCTGAAATGCAGCACAGTTATTTTATAAAACTCTTTAATCACACCGAACCACTGAGACATTAAAGACTCCTCCATTTCACACTTAAAGGGGCATTTAAAACACAGCTTCTCACAATTAAGCCAGCAACATTCACAACTAGCTCTCAAATGTTAATGCTTCTCTCCCCAAGCCAAGCTATATGATAAAAATAAAGTTTTGTTCTATCTCAGGTCCTATTGCAGGGACAAGACTGAGAACAGCGAAAAATTGTCTTTTTTTTCAACATGGTGCACATCACCTACATACTTGTACAACAGAAAGATGCACTGGCAATAGCAAGGTTTAATTAGTAGGAAGTAAATTACTATGAAAGCCACAAAACATCAGCTGGCAAGTGTTGTGTTAACATGTGTAAACAAAAAGTAAGCATATCAGAAAAAAGTGTAATAAAAAGATTGTAGATCCAATACTTATATTCTTGTTTTACTTTATATACTTTATCATGAATATTTTCATGAATAACTCTCACACAGGACCTTTATCTTTGCATACCAAAACTTCTGAATTGTATGGTCACAAGCCACTAAAATAACAACAGTTGTAGCTTTTGACATGCTGGAGTGCAGATGCTGCGTTCAAGAAAATGAACAGATTGAATATAATCAGAGACTAGTGTGCAAAACGTTAAGTCCACAGCAAATTACTGGTCAGGAGGTTACTGCTGCTCCATTATTTCCAGTGAAAGCAATGAAAGTTTTATCTCCGTCTCCAAAGGTATAGCTTGCCAGATTCTCATTTCAGCATCCATTGCTGCAGACCTTTGATGTCCTTCTCACACATATATCACCTAGCCCCTTACATGCTTTCATAGTACGTGTTCTATCAGCTGGAAACAACCTGCCTCCAGTAATGTCACAGATTTTAATCCTTCCCACATATATATTTCTGCTTTTGAGCCAGCAATGTGATTTGTTGCTGTCTTGGTATTTTCACAGCTCACAGCGTATTACATGGCAATCTTCCAATCCTATAGCAACAGATCACCAGAGGCCCAGCTTATCACATCAGCTCCTCCACACAGCTGTCATTTGTTTCCTTTCTATATTGTTGCAGCACTGACACAGTATTTGTTGCACTAGCATGAATCAGGACAGAGCATTCAGATTCCTACTTCAGAGCTGTGAACAGAAAACTTATCAATAGCTTCTGTGGCAATACCTCCCTTGCACCATGCCCAAGTTTAACCCCAGCACAAGACAGAAGTCCCACAGGTTAACTGATTCTGCTCCATTACTTGTTTTCCTCTATTAAAGCAAGTCTCTTGCCCTTTTAGTACTCAAATTCTTACTGATGGTCTCCAAGACATTCCTTGCCTGCTCATTTGTTAAGCTCAGCTCTATTTCTTCCGACCCCATTTGTTCCTTCTCTAAGCAGGAACAAATTTTGCTTATTTTAATCTCTTGTTCATCTGTCCACAGGCAGCTCTCATTCCGACTGCCTTCTCCCCCTGTTTTTCTCCCTGTGGGCCAGCAGCTCTCAGTGAAAGCTATTGCTTCTTTTTCTGTATGTCTTTTCCAAAGATCCATGGAACACCTGGTGTACAACCACCTACACCAGCAATACACCCTACTGACTGAACTTACTTTGCACACTGCCCCTACAAGATGAGAACTACAGACACATTGAGACAGTCTCATATTTCTGGAAGCAGCCTCTGGATTGTTATCTACAAAGCATTATCTATACTGAAAGCAAAGTTTCCCTATCTAGAAGACACAGCATTATCAAGCAGGGCATAGACCACTAGTCAGGAAGCTGTATCTTAAGTTTTCATCCCTTCATGTCCTGCCTTATTCAGAGGGAAGAAAACAGTGAGTCAAAACTCAGTCTTTTGGGGAGCAAGCTGCACCCTGCAGAGCTACATATCTGCACATTTGTCATGCATGTCCTTATCTGGGCCTCTTCACTCTGAAGACAGAAACTGCATTATTCTAGCCAACTGTTCACAGCTTGATAAAATTACAAGGCAGTTGCATGTGAAGATACATATTCGTGTCTCCTTTTACTTGTAGCAGTATCAGATCAGTCCCTCCATTCACAATACTTCTGACAGGTTTTTGAACAAATGGCCTAGAAATGGCCAATGGGTTATTAAGACACAGTCTAACAATTTGAGCTTACTACTTTGCAGAAGTGTGGCACATTCTGCCAAGGACAGCTAGTAAAATACTTATCCATTTCATTACCAGGAAGAATTATGACTCACTGTCTTAAAAAGATGTGAACTTCCTACTGTTTTGTTCATTAAAATACCTGGAAAATAGTGTGAGGATCCAGTCATGTTGGGCATCCGTAGAACAGTGAAGCTGGTAAGGCTGGAGGGGATCAGGATGTTTCAGGCACAGACTCAAAGAATATGTTAACCCTATTGATATTCAAATGCTAGTTAAATGCAAGTTTATCTTGTCCAAAGCCACCAAAATATGGCCTATAAAGATACCGCCTTGTACTTGAGCAAAAGAAAAGTCCCATGCACAATAAGGGCAAAAGTAGAAGAGCAAAAAATATTTCTCACCAAGCTATAACAATTCGTCAGCTGCAAAATGATAGTTTTCAGGCAACAGTTAGTTTCTGAACTAAAGCCTCCCCAGAGGTTCAAACTATCTGGATGTATTTTCCCCCGCTCTATTTTAAATTCCAGTTTTTCATTCCAGTAGCAATGTACTTTTCAAGTTCTCCTTTCCTAAGGAATTAAGAATCAGCTGACAATAGCAGCCATTTCAAGGTCTGATGGGCTAAAAGCCCCAGTTTCCACACACACCATGAAAATAAGCAGACATGTTGGAGAGATCTAAATGAACACTTGCACTGAGGTAAAGGCTCAACATGAGCACAACAGTTGTCTGTTCTGCCTGGCCAGCTGCTTAACATCGCACATACTCACTGAATCAACTCATGCATCTGCAGCTATACCACGTGCTTTCTGCTTTTTGCCCAAGTGGTAATTTGCAGGCCACAGAGGAGAATTTATGTGGGGATTGGAATTAGTAGAAGTTCAGAGAGAATCCAGGGAGATACAGAGAAGTCTAGAATGAGATCCAAGTTTATTAGCTCTTTCACTTCTTGACACAGGGTAAAAAATAACCCCACAAACAGGCTTGCATCTCCATGATGAGTTTATTCACAGCATATGTGCAACTCACAAGCACCAAGATAAAGTCCCCCTAGCATACTCACCAAACTAAGTTTTTTTTAAATAACTGAGCTTTTAATGCTAATAAAAGTTTACACCATTTTCCCTATAGAAACAAGCCAGCATCATACTCTTGGCACTGCTGAACAGTTCATCCAACAGAAGCTGTTACAAAGAAAAAGCACAGGCAGACAAACCTTGGTACTTTCTTCCACATTAAAATCCCAGAGAAGCCAATAGAAACCTCCACGTGTTTTCAAGACAAGTTATTTTTCCTTGGAACACTTCCTGCAGGGCAATAATTCTTTGACTGTTACTCAAGAGTGGACTTGGCCATCAGTCAGTCCTTATACACCAGTGGCCCAGAAGAGCCATGAAATTTAGAGGTGATGCGGGATGCTAACAATCTTCCTAGCAGATGGAAGACAGTCTCATGAGTGCAAGTACATTATTTTTTATTTTCAGCCTGGAAAGAAAATTACTTGGCACTGAGACAGCTCTAAACTAATACTTGCAACTGGATTGAAAAAATAAAATCTTCAAGATCAGAGCACTGAGTGTTTGTGAAAGATAGCACATCGACAACTTCAGCTGCAAAAGGGGCAAATGTTTAAAGGGAATTCGTTATCCAGCTGAGTACAGCACCACCTGACCCCACAAGGCAGCTTGTGCTAGAACAGTTTTATCACCTCAGTTCACTAAATGAGTAGAGATTGTCAGACATCTCTAAATGGCATCTGACGCTATCTACTAGCTATGAAAACTAAGACACTAACGAGTTTTAGGTAGAAGGAGGTAGTTTCATGCACCTTTACAGCCAACCTAATGCAAAAAGCTAATGGGTTAGAAACACCTGACTCTTCTCCCACTATCCTGTAATCCAGCCCTCATCTCACTGATGCATTTTGACAAATGGATCTGAACTTCCTAAGCAAACTGTCACATGTAGTCCTTGCATTCTTGTGCCTTGTGCTAAATCACCACTTGTCAGGGGGTGGCATCCATCCCTCCAGTACAGTCAGACTCCAAAAGATATCTTTGGCTTACACAAGGTACACCTTACATCTTATCAGCCAGAAGTTTCCCTACTGATTGTCCAAGGGCTGAGTTCACATGGTACGCTCAGCCCAACAGTCAGCTGTGCAATGACAACAGTGTTTATCTGTTCAAGTTGCCAGCCAAAAGGAAACTTGATGCATAAGGTTCAGCATGTAGAGAACAAGGACTTCTACCTGAGCTGTCTAGACTAAGTGACACCTAAGGAAGCTACCAAAATCCTTTATTGGTCTGCTACAACAGCAAGTATTCCTTCTATCTCCCAAAGTAGCAGCTCTACCCAGAGAGGATCAAAGAATTAGAAATATCCCAAAGTTAAGGACGCATCTCAAGGCAAGATGAGAAATACCATCTCACAGCCCTGAAGGTTAGAGCACAGGAGCCATCTTCAGGCTCTATCATCCTGAGGTGACATACAAAGTAATTAAATATTCCTTCAGGCATTTACACCATGCTGCATTTCAACTTCTTAAGTACTGTAAAGCAAAACAAAGAAAGCAAAGCTTCGCTGCACATAAAGACTACGTTGTAACTACAGTTTAGATGCTCATATTAAGCTTAACCAGCCCAGTTGCAGAAGTTATACTGTTTAAGGAGAACAATCAGCTAATTGAGTCTGTGATTTGAGTTTGCGCTTGCCAATGCCCAGATCCCCTATTGTGATACAGCTTCTGCAGAACAGAAGCATCGTATTTTCCCCAAGTGACTTAAATTGTTTGGTGTCCAGTCAGACACCACTATGAAGCTGCATAGTTTCTGAATAAGCAATGAACTCACACTCTCCTAAGGAATAGGTCCCTTTAGGACAACCAGTTAGGCTAAGATTACTAATCACTAAGTTTCAGGCTAAGCTTAAGCTCACCATTAAGTCCCATCTCTTAAATCCTTTATGCAACTGGAATTCCCAACACTTGAAGTATTTAAAACAGGTGTCACACCAGAACCACCTTGCAATGCTCTGGATTACCGTTAAAAATGTATGGATGTTTGAACGCTCCAGTTAGGTTTGGTTTTTGGTTTTTTTTTTGTTTTTTTTTTTTTTTAAAAGATTACAGTTTCTACCATCATTCACTACAAGACACTGTCCTCCATATATGCTAGCATATAGGAACCTGTTTTAGAGCTAGCTGGCACCGATACTGATGTCATTTTTTCTTTAATTCAGTAGTAATACAAGTAGACAGAAAGGGATTGGGGGAGATATTTTGTTTCCTTGTTCCCCACTCTGTGGTTGCATGACACACCTGTAGAGCAGACTTGATCACACAAGTAGATTTGTTAGCATTCAATTCCAGAGAGGCCTAGAATACAGTGTTTAAAAGACATGATATTTAAGAGACATGATATTCAAAAGAGTAGACTTACATGGTCATTTTCAATGTTTTGCAGCAGTCTTGGGTCATCAAATTCACACGATTCACTGGTGGTAGGAGGTAGCTGGCTGTAGAGCAAGACAAGCATATTCAAACGTAACAGTGGCAACATTTCCAATCTTACTATTTCATCTATTTTATTGGGAAGCAAAGGAAAGACAAAACAAGATTGGACTGTCCTTAAAAGTATTGTGAAAAGATCATCAACTAATGCACAAAGTGCTGAAAATGACCAACAATTTCTTCAGAACACCAGCAAGAAACCCAAAATGGTTATGCTTGAAAGTGTATTTGAGAAGACAGAAGTGTCAGTACACTTCCTAGAACAGATGTAGCAGAAGCAGCTTTTAAGTGTACCAGAAATACATTGATTTCAAGGTGACCTGCTTTTAAGATAGGTCAGAGATCTATATCCCTAAGCTCCCTCTCTAGTCCATCAGTTCTGCTTCAAGTTCATCACTGAAGGATTTTAAGCCTGAGTACTCCAAATTCATATCTGGAAGAAACTCTTCCACAGAACTGACTAGAAAAGAAGTATACAAGGAGAGAAAAGAAGGCAATGAAGAAACAGCAACATATTGAAAGAAGAAGAGGCATCCATAGAAATCACATCTCAGCCCAAGTAGCAACATACCATAATTATCATATCACCTTCCTAAAAGGTGATCATAAAAATGAGATGGACCAGTAGAGAAGCCTAACTTAGTTCATCAGAGAGTGGCTAACAGCATACAGTTTCTTGGGTGGGAACTCACTTCTTACCTGTATTTACCAAAGCCACATGAGCCCTCTCTGGCTCTTCCCCCCTTCCTGATAATCTGAATATGCTACAGTGACACCTGCATAATGCTTCTAGCTCTTCACTCCCTTCTGTGGAATGGGACATACCCATCACCGCCATTCATTAAATCACTGAATAAAGAGGATGGTTCTCTTGACATGAGACACCTCCATACCAAGCTCTTTCCCAGTTTAATTGTTAAAACATAGCATTTTAATAAAGAAGTTCCTTTTCTTCTCCTTGTCAGGTTTGAACTTAGTGATTGCAAAGAGTAACATTCAGTCTCTGGCTAGAGGTAAGGTTACAGTAAAGAAGGTTACCCTTAGCTTGTAACTTGGTTGTCTGCAGTTATAAATAAGCACTGCCTTAGCATGCATCCAAGCCACGCCAGCCACTGCCTATCCCTCACTCCCCTTCACCCACCATCTCCCTATGCAGGAGAGAAGATCCATCACCACCCACCAGCTCTGCGTTAGACTCCTGGCTGGAAGAGCATTTTACTCAAACACATTGCTCCCTTGGGCTTCTTCCAGTCCCAAATTGGAAAGCAGTCTTTATATAGATTTTCCCCACTCTGCTATACAGAACACAAACATCGTAGATTATATTTACCTGAAGTCTTCTGATGAACGTTCTCTTTCCAGCTCAGGAAAGTGACTGAGGGGCAGAAAGAGGAAAAAAAGAACATTTATTCCATTTTGCAAACCAAAAAAATATAGGTAGAAGGCAAAGATCAATGAGTCATCACACATACAAACATATGCTGGAACCATGGGTTCAGCTGTTCATACATTTGAACCAAGTTTTCTATCTTCCAAGGTATCTAATTTAGCTACCATGAAACTCAAAGGTTAACTTGCACAAAGATCTTAAAACTACCCATTTAAAACTAAGCAAACACAAAGATTTAGTATTCAACACTCAAAAGGCCAAGTGCTATGAAATATTGGCATGACTCAAAGGGATCCTTTTGACAGAAACGGAACAAAACCAGTTAAGTGGGTATCCCTCCCGTGCAAGGAATATTTAACTCTACAACCACAATTACAGCTACATGGTTGTAATGAAATCCTGGTTCATCTAAAGAAGTCACAGAAACATGCTGACAATTGCTACCCTTGGGCTGCATCTCCTTCCCTCTGGAAGATCCAGATGTTATTTAGCACTTCTGGTTTGGTTTAAATTGTGCTAAGTTAGGAAGCAAGTAATTATTTCTCTTTACTTCATGTAAAGTACTCCCCACCCAGGTTTGCAGTTCATAACTTGTGTTGCAGGACATAAGAATGAAAGCTATTAACTGAGACCACAAAATATACTAAAATAAAATCAAAGAACAGAATGTTCTAATCCTGTTCTGATATAGAAGTATGTACCATTCATAAGCATATTAAGCTGCAGAGTTTCTAAAAAAGTCATACCTACCCATATGTCACTCCAGCAATACTACATTTCTTAAAGTTCATGATATTGCATGTTAGAGTACCTGTTTTATCAGAAAACAGGTATTTTACCTGGAAGAAAAAAAAGTCTAATTTTCAACTTGCAAAGCAACAAAACTTGAAGTGGAAAACAGATTACATTTCAGGAAAATTCCAGGAGACATATGGCTCAAATGTCACAGTATTGGCCAATGCACGCTTATTACAGCCTGGTTTGTCTTACCAAAAAGCTACAGAAAAATAATCAAAGAACTTATTTAATAGTATTATTTCTTCTTTATTTCTACCTGCAGCAAGGCCCAAATAGTAGGTATCAATTGCCAAGGCTCTAGTGTGGTCCATACAGATGCACCTGCTTGTGCTAGTTGAACATTCACCAGATCTTTCAATTGTACTAACATCAAACAGCAAGACTGGAAATTAAAACAAAGACTCCTAAGATTGTTGAAGAATCATTAGAATTTAACACACTGAAGAAATTCTGTGTTCCAAAGATCACCAGGAATTTGCTGGGGTTTTTTTCCCCCATAAACAGTACTGTGCAAGGAATAACCTACAGTAAGTCCAACTGGTATTTGGCAAGCATTAACTGCTTTTTCTGGTATCCAGTCATGAGCAATTCTGAAGTGCAAGACACATAGCACTGCCCAAGCTCATAAGCCCTTAATGCAAACCAGTGACTTTCAGCTAGAAATTGGAGAAAACACCAACACAGCAACATGACTTCTTGGAGCATTAGCAGATTCAAGACCCCCACCTTCAGGAGGGCCACAACAGACCAAAATTAGTTGTAACCTAAACTCCACACTATTTTACCTGTGTACCAGGTAAGACTTTAAACCAGCAACAGGCAGGAATGGATGGTGCTAACATAGGAGTTAGCCAATTTAAAGACCAGAATATTTTGTCTAGAGTTGCAAAAAGCTTTTCCTCAGTATTTGCAATTCAGTTACAAGATAGTACACTACACTACTAGTTAACTGATCCTTTAGCTGTGCACTACTCTGCTTCTGAATACAGAATTGACTTCTAACTTGCACAGGCTCCATTTCCAAAGTGGGTACACAAACATCTGAGGAACTTCAAGTCACTAGTAATTCTAGCGTATAACAAAGTTTTAAAGCATACCTGTGAACAATTCCATTAATGAATCAAAAAAATTCAGCCTAGTTATATGGAATCACTAGTAAGCCATTTCTGAAAACAACATATGGGCCAACAATATACATTATGCCACATAATACAGTTTATTTCAGACAAAAACACTATCATAATTTGGAGATTGGTAACCTCACATCAGGGCAACCTAAACACAAATTTTAATCCTAAGGAAAAGGTCAATCAGATTAAGTAGGAAGAATATTGACTACCACCCTGCTGAGCAGCACACAGTAATTATGTATTTTACATAAACACTGTCTCCAACACTAAATTCACATGAATTATGAAGTTCATGTGGTTCAGTTACACACCTATGACTTTGGTGGTCAAGGAAAAAAGCTAGGATTTCTCAATGGTACTACAAAATTCCAATGGCAAAGGTGTGTTTCCCAGTAACCTTACTTTGGGGGAAGCCCTTCCATTTTGAAAAATCTCATTTGCAGAATTTATAACAAGTCTCTTAAAGCAAGTACAAGTTAATATACAGCTATCTAACCAAAAGGAAAGTGGAAATGCTTGAAGGAACACAATCTAAATTAGGAACCGAACTGCATTTTTTTGACTTGCATTTCCTGTGAGATGGTCAGAAACATGAACAACTAAGAACACAGGCTAAGGCTATTGGCCTGCTCTTCAGCCAAGCTTAGTCCTGTACATTCTGTTCCAGTATAGACAGTCACAACCACAAAGCATCTCTTCAACACCCTTGAGGAAAAAAGTCAGTTTAGAGTGAACATAAGGAATAAAGATTCCATTCCCAGGCTTAAAACTGCCTATATGTCCTTGAATTTATCCTGCAATATCTCATTATTTTACTTGTAAGACTTGGACTAACGAAAGTAAAGATGTCCCATTAACCTGAGCCACAGAGCAACAGAATAAAGCAGATTTGTACAGCATACTCTCATACCTTCTATCTTCCCAGAAGATATCACAAACATGACACTTAAGAGAATGTTGTCTTACCTGCCCAAGTTCCTCATTAAGGTTTGAGGTTCTGGCCATTGCAGGTGTATCTGTTTCAGGATAATACATATCTATGTCCTGAAACAAGAGCAAAATTAGACCTATGCTATGCAAATTAACCACTGAAGTCTCCAGCCTTCTTTTAGTCAGCTCCAACTTGGCTTGATTGACTTAAATCCACTGGTGGAGCTTCTGGAGGCTTGAGACACAAATAGCATCCCAGGCTGAATAGGGGTGTCTCCTTTCCAAAGTATACCTCCATACTACATGCACATTAGAAAAGCCAGGTTCATTTATAGGTAATTATAATTTTCTTCACTGCATCTCTAATTTGAGATTTTAGAACAGTAGGAAGAAGTTCTAACAGGCATTAGCCATGCTAATCATAGGTCTTCATTTACAACAATGCCATTTACTCTAGCAACATCCATGATTGAAGAGACAATTTGAGTGACTCTGAAATCAACTCCTATTGCTACATTTAATTGGGAGGGTAAACAAAACAGCAATTACATGAACCAAAGCAATTTCTCAGATAAGCTAGTCAAGCATCTCCAATACATTATAAGCAGCTCAGAACAGACACGTTAGAACTTATTTACTTGTATTTTAGAGGAACTGCTGCAACTTTACTGAAAGTCCAAGGATTAACACATACCAAGACAAGCTAACAAAAACAGGAGGGAAACCTTGAGAGACACCACTACAGCATTTTTGGTCCACAACTGAAGAGAAACACACTTTGAAGTCAAAGCTTGCCTGAACAGAGGGATCACTGTTTTGTTACATAAGGTACCACCAACTCATCTCCTTACAGAAATACTATTATTCATACCAGAGGTGACCAGCCTCAGGATTTTAAAAAACCACCCCCCACCCCATGCCCAAAAAAACTCCCCACACCCCTAAACAAATCTAGTCTTTCCCTCTGCTGTGGCTGAGAAAAGCTATAAGGTACTGAAGAGTTTTCAAAAGATGTTTACTGAACATGAGTCAGTGGAGAGACTTTCTTCAACCAAAAGAGCCGAGCCTTCCTTCTCATCCTGAAAGCCTAAAATATACAAGAGTAATCATTTGCACAGGGGAATCTTCCTACAACTAAATCTTTTAATTTCCTGTGGAACACAGAACTAATACAGAATAAATCCTCTGAACTTCTCCCTACCTTTCCCAGAAGTTGCATGAGAAAAGTCATCAAAAAGTCTGGTAAATTCAGGGTGGGTTGTTTTGTGGGGTTTTTTTGTTTGTTTTTTTTTTAATGTCACTTCCCAAAACTGGCATTAATACGTTTATTCTTGTTACTTACCCAATTTATAAAAAGAGCCTGAGTAAACTTGACAACTTCCAATGTCACCAGAAGACTGATTGGAATAAGGTTGTTGTACAAGATTATAAATGTCAGCAGATTGTATCCAAAGTTGACAGACAGCATTTCTGTGGACCAAAAGACGTAAGACATCAACAGACAGAAGGCAGAAGTCTGAGTGGTACAGTATAGGGGCAGTCATCTTTCTGCAGTTGGCCTGATCAGATTCAGTAATGCTAAAATAATCAGCATGTTGAGGCCTAGTATAAGGGCCTTAATATTGATTTCAATAGTACATACATAAAACACCCACAGAACACATGCCTGGGTACACCGCGTATTATGCCAGGTGAAGAAGGGAAAGATTGGTGAGGATACGTATTAGAGAACAGAACACTTTCTGAACAATTTTTGCTAAACAGATGGTGAGAAGTATGATATTCCACACTATAACCCAAATTTAGAGATCTGATGTGTCAACTGCCCCAATTAAGAGCCACCGATATCACTCATAACATAACTTTATCTTTAAGAAAGTGCCTACTTGTCTTGGTGGAGTCGGAAAACAAAAAATAAAGACTAAAATTTGTTCTGAAATCTGCCAGCATTGGCAGAATTAAGAAGTTACACTAAAGAAATCTAAGAGAACAAGCTGACTGTTAAACAGACACATAGTACATGACCTAAGGCATCCTGCTTAGGCAGAAGAGCTGTTATTAATGGTGACAACGTTGGGCAAGTTGCCCAAATCAATCTGCCGGCACAACTAGTCCTAAAACGAAGGGGAAGTGTTTATAGACAGCAGGCAGGAATGGACAAGGCTCAGCAGATACACAAGATGAATGCTCCTGTTCACGCTGCCACCCACAGCCTCTCTTTACATCCGAAGTGTCCGCATTTGTCTGTTCTTCACTTTCCTTGAAGCTTAGGGAGGCACTTCAGTCAGTGTACAGAGCACCCAGCAGAAAGGTGTCACAGCCCACAGCTAAGGGGTTTTCAGTGATACAAGTAAGGTAGTAAGACGGCAGAGGAGCAAACTAGGAGATGGAAGCCAGAAAAAGTTGCTGAAGCCTAATGAAGATCAGAGCAAAAGTCAGGACCCAGGCACCTCCAACTGTAAGCACACACAAATTCTGTATCTTTCATGAGTTTACAGAAAGATTAGAAGCATGCTTGATATTGGAAAAGGTTTTTGCAATGCAATCTTTATAGAAATTATAACCTAACAAAAATTTAACATCTGCCTGCCTAGCCTGAAAAAGTCTTTCCCATGCGTGGCAGTTACAGAAGCAATAGAAATTGTGTATTCAGTTTATGAAAAAGCATCTATACAGACTACCATGTCATCCTAGTTTATTACAGGTTGCACCTGTTTCATATTAGCACAAGTTCAAGCGTTTGTTCCATTCATCTTTTCCAATATTAGTCCCATCATTTGAAGGCACAAATTTAAACTGCCTCATTAAAAAGCAAAGTGGAAGGTAAGGAAGAAACTTTGAAAATTGCCAATACTGCTGCTAAAAGACATTACAACTACCAAAAACCAGAGTCAAGTATGAAGCACTTCCATGCTCTTCCTATATACATTTTTTTCATTACTATCACAATTGCAGTTCTTAAACTGCAGAAGACACCCTTTGCCATCTGTTTTGCCATCCCCAGCAGAAAAATCATTTGCAGTTTGTGAGAATTGTTTTCAGATCTGCATCTCAAGATGTTTGTAACACTTTTGTTATAGCTAGCTAATGTAACCCCCTCAAGTTAGAAGTCTACTGGAGAGCAATTTATTTCATCCTTAAAGATGGGCCTTATGCAAACACTTATCTGAACTAGTAAATTCAAGGAGTATGAATGAAATCAAAATAAAAGCCCTTAATAAGCATGTTAAAAGATCAGTTTTCTCATTACAAAATAATAGGCAGAAGCCAAAACAACTCTGAAACATTATCCAATAAATACAAAATCATAACATTTAACTGTTTTCTCTACAAGAACAAATCAGCATTTCTGACTGAAAAAATAGCCAGAGAAATCCTTTGCTTCTGTACATAAGCACAGGAGTTGAAGACAGCATCACCAGACTAGTACCTGCTATCCTGCAGTCAGGTACAGTCAGACATGATACATAAGGCAGCAGTACATGAGCTGCCCTAAAAACAAATTTGTGCATGGCATCTCCACAGAGCTGAAAGAACTTGAATAACAAATATCCAAGAATAACTCCTGCCCCTCTCCTGTTTCTTCCCTGCTCCCTGGGTGGTAGCACAGTGGTATTTACCTAACCTTTAGAAGGTTTTATTAACAGAAACCTCACCAGCGAGTTCACTTATACCAGCCCATTCTCAAAAAAAAAAAAAATCAGGCCATCAAAAGTTAGCAACAGGCTCCATTTCTTGTGTTTCTTTTTGTTTCTTCTTTTATGCATTCATTTAGCAAAGCTAAGAGCCTGGCTCACCCTACAGCCTGATAACATCTGTAGCACACTGCCTGCATACTCACCGTTGGAGCCAAGGTACCAGACGACTTCACCGTGTGTTCTGTTCCATAATAAGGCACCTACAGAACTCACAAGGGCCATCACCAGGAGAATACAGAACAAAACCAGGATCTGCATGTTGGTCACTTTCTCCACATTTGATCTCTTCAGAGGTGCTTTGGTTGAATTCTGAACAGCAGCAGCAGAAAAAAAAAAAGTCTGGCAATGCCTTATACAAGAGGGAATTGCAGAGGCAAACTCAAGTCTTTATTTTTAGAGTCCATTATAGAACTTGCTACTTCAACTCTATTTAGCTCAATATTGTATGCAAAGCTCAACAAGGTAGTAGTATGAGCCAATACCCCTAATGACTCCAAAAACTGACAGAACATCGGAGTAAGAGAACCATTCCTAAAGACCTAGCATGCTCATCTCCTGTCTGTCCATCCCACTGAACGTCAGAGGTGAGCCGCACATACATGTTACTTGTCTCGAGGCACTCCCTGCCACTAAGACAATACGGAGACAGTAGTCTCAACCTAATTATCTCCAAGTGCTAAAATTTTACGTGGTCATTTCTCAGCTGTTAAACCTGTTTTAAATGTTGTCCAGCTACGAGGTAAATTAAGATAAAATACAGTTCATTTTGCTTACTTATTGAAGCATTTTGAGACAAATACCTCAATAAGTATTTACACATGTGCACATGCAACCTCAAGGACAACAGTATCCTTGTATTCCTCAAAGCCTCCAGATCTTAAACAGCTACAATGAGTCAAATCATTTCATAAACTTAAGTCCAAAAGACAAATAAAATACAGGAAAGATGACCAGCTTCTATCAGAACATGCTCTAGATCTCCTTAAAAACTTTACCTGCATGAGTTTTGTATCATGTCCTGTATACACAACAATACCCAAGACCCACTGAGTGTTTCTCAGTTGTGCACCTCTTAGCAAGATCTGGTCTGGACCAACAGGAACTGGGCTGCAAAGCAAGAAGTTATGTATAGCTTTCAATTCTTGCTAACGCTTTAGGAAAGTAATTATCCTTCCAGCCTTACTACCCCCTCAAAAAAACCCCAAACCACAAAAGGAAGAACGTAATATGAACTTAATTGTCCACACAACTCAAGAGCACTGAAACCTGTGTAAGTCGTATCCCTGCTAAAGCACAGTAAGGCAAAGACAATACAAGGGAGCTGTTCTAGTTACCCAAAACTTGATAACTTGTGGCAGCCATAAGCCAACTCTGCACTTTACCTTGGCTAGCACATTCTCTCACATCAAGGACAGAGAAGCATCACCCTTGCAAACAGACCATCCATTCCAAGCACACTATAACCTCACATACGCCATTAAACAAACGTTTTGGGAAAACTGTATTACCCATGTGATTTTCAAGTGGGATGGAAGCGATCTTCTATTCTTGCATCTGTCACTATTCAGCTGAGCTGCCCAAGGAATAGTTTTTGTGCAGGAAAACATTAAGATGAAACCTGAACGTTCCTATTGACCTTTCAAATTCTATGAATTCAAGTACTAAAACTAAGTTCTTTTCTTCCAAGAGTTGCAACAGATCGAAGTCACACCGATAAAGACTCCAGACTGTGATCATTTTTCTCTCTAGATCTGAGCTTAGTGCAGCACTTGGCTCTAGTTGGAAGGCAAAGGTTTCCCATTTCCACTGCACATCTCCTGTAGCAAGAAGGCCCTAAAAACCCCAACCATTTCCCCAACTCTTCCTTCTCTTTAGATGTTACTTTTGATAAAAAAACCCACTACAATTCCAAAGAAACCAGCTGTCCTGGTTTCAGCTGGGATAGAGTTCATTTTCTTCCTAGTAGCTGGCATAGTGCTGTGGTTTGGATTTAGTACAAGAATAATGCTGGTAACACACTGTTGATCTAGCTATTGCTAAGTAGTGCTTACACCGATCAAGGACTTTTCAGCTTCCCATGCTCTGCCAGGTGCACAAGAAGCTGGGAGGGGGCACAGCCAGGACAGCTGACCCACACTGCCCAAAGGGCTATTCCATATCATATGACATCATGCTCAGTATATAAACTGGGGGGAGCTGGCCAGGGAGCAGCGATCACTGCTCAGGGACTGGCTGGGCATCAGTCAGCTGGTAGTGAGCAATTGCATTGTGCATCACTTGCTTTGTATGTTTTTATCATTATTATTGTTATTATTACTTACTCTTCCTCTGCTCTCCTATAAAACTGCCTTTATCTCAACCCACAGGTTTTACTTCTCCCCACCCCCCCCCTTGTCTCCCCATCCCACCAGGGTGGGGGAGGATGAGCTAGCAGCTCTGTTGTGCTTAGTTGCCGACTGGGGTTAAACCACAACACCAACTCTCCCATAACAAGCAGAAGACTCCATAGAAGACAGAACTATGTTGTATTTTACCAGCAGATGCTCTGATTTGACAACTGTTAATTATTACCCTCCTCTTCCCCAGCAAAACCATGCATATGCTCAGTATTGCAGACTAAAAGCACACAGGAAGCATTTTCCTAACCAAATGAATTTATGGCTTTGTTGTCAAGTCAATACCTTTGACCATCTAAACGCAAGTTTCCAGTGAAGTCATAAAGGTGACGGTTGGGCCCTTCACATTCTATCCTTCCAGATACTTTCATCAATTCTTCTCTTGACTGGAGACTAGCAGTTTGAGACAATCCCTGTAGAGACCAATCCAAAAGGAGATTCTTGTCAAAAATTGTTATTAGAAGGCAACCTAGGAAAATGATGCTTTCTTCCAACATTTAAGATATCAAACATAATTTAATGTGTGGAGGTTTTCTATCAAGTTTGTTGGTGAGTGGTTTTTTTTCTTTTCTTTTGTTGTTTTTATTAATAGGTATTTAAAAGTTCTTTCCTGCAAGGAAGACTTGTTATGGACATGTATGATCCTGCTTATATAGGATTGGTTTAAATCCCTCTACACAAGAGAGTTATATTACCTACATGATCTCTCTGTAACCAAGAGGAAAGTCCCATCCACAAAGCACAAAGTTGCACGTGTGCAGGAGGAAGTAGGAGACAAGCAGTATAAACAGGCCTGGCTTTACTCCACAAGTATAGCTCTGCTGACTCGTTACTGCTGCTAAATATAGTCACTGCTAAGTGTAGTCTCTCTTGGGTCACTGCAACCATTATGCTCTGATCCCACTCAAGGTTAACTATCAACCAGTCATGCAACAGTAACTGAACATACTGCTACTGCATCTCAGAATGCACATAGAACACTCCATTGCTTTTCATCTGTCTATGAACACCTCCACTTGGTTAAGAGCAATCCATTTAGTGCTTCTTTTGTCAGATTTTGACTTCAGCACTGCAAGCCAGAACAAGACCTCAAAAGGCCCCACAACCTTATTTTTGTATTTTACGCATGTGTCTGAAGCAAATAAAATGACAGGAACTCAAGATCTTATCTGTTGGGCTGACCCAGAACAGTAAATCACATTTCTACAAAGATAGTAAACAAGCAGCAAGTTTAAGTTTTTTTAAAAAACAAATAATCTGTATTTCAAAATCCTAATCCAAATTCATTTTTTTGTAATAAAAGCAGGCAACGATTCTGAACTATTTCTAAACACCATAATCAACAGTATTTCTTCAAGAAAACTAGAAATATCCAAATAAGTTCTACTACTTACCACAAAGCGAGAACAAATTAACTTAAACATATAAAAGGTCCTTTTGAGCACTCCACAGAGGCAGAAGCACCAGACAGATTGGCACTTGTGACAGCAGAAACTGCAGCTCTCATCACAAGCACAGCTGCTTCTTTTTTTTTTTTTTAAAATATAGTACTTCAATTCTACTTACTGGACCTTCAGCAAAACATAGCCAAGGTCTGCTTGATTTCCCTTTGTGGGCTTCTAATACTTCCTCCAGATTAGTTCCTTACACTTGCACACAAAGCATTATTGCTTGGGTTTTTACCTGTTGAAAAGAAAGCTACAGCCACCTGGAAGGAGATGTGCTTTTTTCTTTTTTTAAAAAGAGTACTTGTATTGTTATCATGCCAGCTAGACTCCATTTTGTAGCTAGTATTAGATACCTAAATGGAAAGAAAAGGTGAAATTCATGGGTTTTTACCTGTCGTATTTTAAGATTTGTCTCCCCATCGAGATTAGCTGTTTCAATATAGCACATGGCTTGCGGTTCACTGTAAGGAGCATAAGATTTTCAATATTAAAACTCAGTACTTTTTGCATACTACTTTTGCACTAGGATTGTCCACAATGCATTTTTTCAATAGACTGCAGAAGACAAAAATCCATATTGCTTGTATATGACCATGAAAGAGCCAGCTGAAAGTACACATTTTAGAGATGTCTTTGGATATGAACACTCTCATACAACAAATTATAGAGAAAGACAAGTCTAAATCAGAAGTTTAATAAGGATTTAGCAAGTCATGATAAACTTAGATGCCTGAAGTGGACTATTTTACATTGCAATCCATAAAATTACTTCAGATTGCAAAAGCTATAGATAAACTACTAAGCATTGAACAGTGTAAAAAAGGGGATGTGCTTGGATGAAGAGGTAGTGCTCTCTGCTCTTGAGTTCTGTCTGAACCGTGCACACAAAAGGTCATTGCCACCTTAAAGTTGAGGGACTTGTGGAGGTACATCTGAAGTCACTGCTAATCAGCTTTTTTTTTTTTTGAGAATCAAAAAAGGTATGGTAAGATTGAAACTGAGGGCTGTGATCTGCATCTTCCAGAGGTGCTTCTGCCCTTACCACTAGGTGCAAAAAAAGTCTTCCTCACAGAACTGTGGGTTTTCCATTAGTCAAGGTCTTATCTACACCTAACATGGAGGAGCTCTGCACAGGTAGCACCTGTGACATGCCCCCTAAGATTTAAAACCTCTGTAAGGCACCACCATTTTGGTGGTGACTGTCACCCAACTCTCTTCTCAGGCTGCTAAGGAACATGAGTTTCCCATCCGGACACAAAAATGCGCTTCTTCAACATACCACTTTTCATACTCTTGATTGCTATGTCTTTTCCAAAGTAACCAACTGCTTTAACAGCAAGGGTACTTAATCAGCGGAAGAGTCAGTAATAAAGGCTCCTTAGGACAAAAATTGTTAAGAAACAGCCAGGTATATTTACAACACAGTAAGAAGCTAATTTTTCTCTACAGAGAATTTTTCTTTAAAAAAAAAAAAGGTTCAGAGTCTGTTCTTTGCCTCCTCCTATAGAGGCAACCTGAATCTGAACCGAAGAAAGCCACAGATTAAGTCCAGCTTGAATGCCTTTTACCTCAAACACCTTATCTACTACAACTGAAGTGGTTAACTCAGAAGGGAGACCTCTTGCAAGACAATTCCTTTCATTTCCACAGAAATGTATGTTTCCACACAAAGGCGTGTTCGTATTCAAATCTTTTTTCCCTTCATGTAAATTTATTATCTATGTAAAATTCATTTGATGTCACCTTTATTCTATGGGGAAAGAAGAGTCAAGATAAAAACAACTGTTTATTTTGCCTCTGACAGTCAGCTCAGACACAGAAGATTAACACATACAAGCAAAAGACCCCACCCCTTCAGAGCATGCAAAGCCTTCTGGTGAACTGAGGACACTTAGTATTGTCATTTAAAAGAATCATAGGAATAATACCAATTGTAAAGCAGAACTGCCATAGAAATTGCTATTTACTTCAAGCAAAGGTTCTCCCAAATCAACATACTTTGGGTTAAATTCTCCAGTTATGTGATTATCAATGATGACAGGTTAGTAGAATAAGGTAGAACAAAAAGCTGACTCATGCAAGTTAAGAAATAAATCAGAAGGTTTTGTAGTATAATACATTAGAGAAGAAGTTCTCAAGTAAAACAAATAGTCCTCAATGCTGAAACAGCAGGTTATTGATGTCAAAGTGTAGCCTAACTAAGTGCATATTAAGGTTGACAACTGCTTATTTAAAATTATTTTTTTTTTTAGAAAAAACCACAATATTGTATACTATGGAATGAAGATACCTCTATCCTTGATCATGTGACAGTTCAAAAAGACTGAGGTTCCCCATACAGTTTCCAAAAAAAAAAAAAAAAAAAAAAAATCCCTCCCAGGAATGGCACAGACAAAGATGGAGCAGAAAATGTAGTAGCTTAGAAAACAAGTTCCCTTAGAAGCTGGGTCATCTAAGAGAACTATAACCTGGAGACCAGAGCAACCTGCAGTCACTGTTGAAAAGCATGCTGACAGAAAAAAATTATGGAGAAGAGCAAGATGTCATAAGGTTTGACTACTAGAAAAAAGCATGTTCAAGAACAGGAACTGCACTGTTGTCTCTTGTTTAAAACTCAAAGTGGACAGTGGTCTCGATTTGGCCTCAAGTTGTTCAACACAATATAGGATCTACATTAGCAGCCAAGTACCACTCAAATGCTTTTAGGAACTAGTGACCAAACTTTGTTTGCTAGTACATTGGTATAAACGTGTTGTCCCATATTTCACAAAAAATGAGCAGTACTCAACATTTACTGTTGCTACCATGCTAGGGATAGCCTATATGTGCATTGTATCAAAGACAAGCAGTAAACAAACGAAGCCCAAAAGCTATTTTGCAGGCTAGTTTTTAGATGCCAGCTGCAGTAGCCTTTTAGAATTACTGTTTGAAAAGAGAAATCTTTCCTGAGGGGCAGGAAAATACGCTGGAAACTCAGTGGAATTAACTGAAAGAAAATTTAAACTTAATTAAATGGAGGGATCCTCAGAAGGCCACAGAGCAATTGACTGCATGAAGCTTGTCTAACAGACCTTCAGTCTTTCAAACTCAGTGATACACTTTGAGACTTACAGGTACGTAATACCATGAAGCCTCAACGAAGCCTTCTTTCTTAAGAACCTATCTATAATGATATGTGAATCATTGCCTAGCAAAGCACTGTTTTGACATTGTTGAAATTTAGATGTGGAGAAGAATTACTGCTATCTGATGTCTGTTTTCATTAATAGCAAATACAGAGTTTAGGACTCCCTCTGCACCTCAGTTCATCAGACATATCATTTCCACACCCATTCAGGATACCTGGAAGATATAATGATCATGTCTGCTGGAAGATGTTGCCCATTGGTGACCTTCACAATATCTCCTACTGCTACCTGTTGAGTCAGGGGCACGAGTACAGTAGCATGGAAGAGAAAAACAAACAGTTTGCTTGTCTAGAATGTTAGTTCGTTATTTTCCTTCACCCAGTCAAAAGAACAGCATCATGCACAGAACAGTTAGAGACAATGCTTCTGAAAGTCAGAGTACTTTTCACTGCAAGTTTTGAAGTATCAAAGCACTCCCTTTTCTGAATACAAAGTAAACAAATCTCTATAGAAAAAACAGATATACTCAATTGGAAGGTGTGAATTTCTGTGGCTTATATTTTGTAAAAATTACCTTTTTCTATTATCCTGCCGTTATCCAAATTTGAGTTACTTTTCCCTTTAGTCTTATTTAACCTACAAAGATTTTTTTCCTAGTAAAAAAGTTATCTTTAAACTTTACCTTCCTCAACTATCAAGAGTTTCTCTTGTTCCTTCTCTGTATTACTTACCTACCCAGTCATCACTATAATTTTCCCTTAGCCCTCTTTAGATGCACTTCTTGTACTAGTCACTAGCAAGGAGTACTATCTGTACAGATAGACAGCAGCAACCAGTTCTTCCCTGACCTGTAGTCACTTGAGACATGCAATGTCCTAATTTCTGAATTACTGAAGACCTAAGAGTTTCTGGCACCTTTAACAGGAGTCAACACTTGCATGGGACTTTCATTCTAAAAAGGACCAAGTAGCACTCTCAAAACAGTTTAAGTATCAGGCTGCTAGCACCAATGCACTCCCGAGAGTCTGAAATGGGCTTAAAAGTATTTTTAACATATTAATTTATAAAAATTGAAGCAGACAGCATGTTTGAAGAGGCAGATTCATTAGCCTTACTCTGAGCCCACTGAAAACAAATTCCCTACCAATTTCAGCACAAAAAAGATCAGAAGTCTGCCTTAAAGTAAACAAGGTGGATAGCACAGAACTGTTCCTCCCTAACAATAAATGCAAGCCTGGACAATATGCAGATACAGGCCAATTCAAGAAGTGCTTAAGGGTATAAGAAAACTAGGTTCCAGCCTCAGCTTTAAATATCTTTGAATTCAGTGTCCTAAATACAAATGGGACATGGAACAGCATAAACAGGCATCAGCATTAGCCATCAGAATCCCTGGCAGTCTTTAGTTTCTACTATTGCCTAACATTTCAGCAGAGTCTCTTGAGGTAGATCTCATTTCCCAGAGGTTTAAAAAGGGTGTACTTTTTCCTCACTTGTTAGTTAACGAGTCTAATTTTGTCCCTAAAAAGGCATTAAGAGCCATGATTAGATCATTATGTCCCAAGGGTTTTCAGCAAGTTCTGGAAACAAAGCTCACCAGGTCCTGGCACAGGGCTTCACAGAACATGGGTCCTGAGTGCCTGAGGTAGCAGCAGGACTTGTGTTCCTTACTTGAGCAAACAGCTTACTAATCAGCCTCAAAACCTAAGAACTTTTTAGCACAGATAGCAAAATAAATCTGTTAGACTTTCAGGGGAGGTACAGCATTGCAGTGAAAATAACTCTTCTAGATGTGGACTGAAAACAAAATACTGTTTACACCCTGGAGCATATTAACTGTCCAAGCAAGAACACTTACAACAGTTCATTAGCATTTGACAGAAACATAGTACTAGGATTTAAAGATGGGTACTCAGGTGCCTTGCTCAGGGCAATTTTCACTATTGCAACAGAAAGGATCCTTCCCACCCCAAGTCACAGGGATTTCTCACATAGCGTGCATTAACTCCAGGCCTCCAAATTTATTCTGGCAAAAGTAATTCTTGAACACATTCTTCCATTCCCTCCCATCCTCAATTTTATTTACCTCTTTCCACATAATGTTCTGCCACATCCCATTTCTTAGAACTGGAAAGAAAGTTTAACATTAGATTAGAACAAATACCCAAGATCTGGACAAATTTCAGAACAACTGTATCAGCAGTAGTGAACATTGACCAGAATGGGAACTAACACATACATCAGAAAACTACTCTTCAGAAGCTGGGACCACACTTTTTGTCCACAGCTGTAGGCACATGCATCCAAGAAAGAGGAAGAATCTGCCCTTAGTATTTATATTATACCATTTTTAGCACCTGCTAGACAACAGTTGGTGACCTGATTTCTTCTCGGCATCATTTCATGCTAACACACAGATGGGCAGTGTTGTTACTTGTGTGGGAAGTGACCTTCCTTAAAACAAAGGGCATTACTGCCCACTGTCAATCAATACCTTGAAGCATCTCTATGTATGACTTAACCACAGAATTCACTTCTCACCTTTTTCCTTGCATTTTATTCATTATGTTTTGACTCTGACACATCCAACCTCACTACCACATAAATTGCCCTTAAGGGTTGAGGCTTAACTGTCAAGCAGGGTCAAGGTCCTAGTAAAAAGCAAAGATCAGCTTTGGCAGAAGAAGAATCTTAAATGCTGAAGCTCACATTGAAACAAAAAAGGAAACAAGGTACTGAAACAGGCCTTGGCTTCTGTAGTGCCTGCTATATTCCTATACTGCTGCCTTAACACTTTCATTAGTCACCTACTCTGGAACATGCTTTTCCACACAAGTACTTCCTCTAGATGCTTCTACACATACATAATAGTACCCTAGCCTAAAGAGCAAGGTCAAAACTTTATGCCCAATCATTGCTGAGCAGCCAAATCCAGTCCAGGTCTGAGTGCACCAAGTATACCTAAACAAACTCAAACCCTTCACTGAAAACAGCTGCAGCCAGTTTTTAAAGATGCTCAGAAAGTATGGTATGCAACAGATGAAAGTTGAAGGGGCCAGCCCTCTACTCTGAATAAATTTTCTCTTCAGTTCTATGCAATTCACATACATAGCTCATTTGAAAATCATACCAAATTCCCAGAAGATACAATTCTATGGAATACAGCCTCCGCTGTCCTACTCAGGTTAGGGCATTCCCGAAACAGGAATGCAAGATTTGTCACACCAGATCAAGTACAAGAAACCCACCTCTTGATTCCTGTCCCCAGGCCACACACTTCGGAGCAGTGAATCCCGAGATTTAATATTACAGCGGATGGATCACAGTAAACTATTTAATAAAAAATGGGTGGGCAGCAACAGAAGCACTGCTAGTGGCGCATCTAAACTGCTGAGGTGCTACCCAAACAAGTACATGCAGTTTAGGGGAAGAACAGCTTTGTTGCGCCCCTTCCTCCTTCTAACCTGTGCCTGAATTGAGCTCTGCTTAGTTCAGAACACAGGAGAACGCCTGATCCCAGAATCTCAAGTGAAAAAGCCACATACCTGCAACCTTGATTCAAAACCCAAACCCTCAGAGAGGAACTGAGCATCTCCTGTGCCTTGCTTTAAACAGCTCCCTGTTCCACCAGAAAATTTTGGAGACAACTGTTGTTGCTGTTGTATGTTCACATGCAATGAAGTATTTCGTAGCTTCAAGTGCCATGAACTTGGTCTTGCAGACAATTTACTTAAGAAAACAATGTAGCTTTCATGCTTACTGAAATAAGTTTAACTAATAAAGTTAATTAGTCAAGCAAATTAAAAAAGAGAATAGTTGCTTCAGTAAACTCAATCCCATAATCTAAAGAGAAAGCTTCCATTAGACATCGAACAGTTCAGAAATTTTGGGGTTGCAATTTTGTACCTTCTACTCTGCTTAACCCCATTTTATAGGAGTACTCCAAAGGGCAGAAAAGACTGTCTTCTCTAGAATATTTATAGGAGGGTAAAATTGATGAATTATTCATTATCAAAAGGTATTTGGTTAAAGTAACAAAGAACAAGTACCTAAAAAGATTGTTCCTACTCAAAAACAGAGTTTCAATATAAACCTTCTATCTAAGACTTTCTAAGACTAAAAAGCAGTGTATTGATGTTCTAGATCTAAGAATGCTGTCACTCACACCTAGGTGTGTAAGGCCATTTGAAGTGCTGCTCCTGAAGGGCAAGCATTTCCCATCAGTCTTGTGCAATAGTTTGCTAGCCCTGAGCTTGTCTATTATTCAAGGGCGTCCCATACAGTATTAAATGCTCATGGCTTATTCTATAATTTGACAATAAGAGGATCAATACATCAGAAAAGTTATTACTTAGCTCTCTACGTCTACGCAATACGCTGCTCAGGGGCTTCACTTAGGAATACATTTAGTCTGGTCCCTAGATTCAATGTTATCTCCATATACACCACGTGAAGCCATCCAAGACGTGGAACTCTGGCTCATAGCCTAACATGCTCCAGCTCCTAAGGAAGATTTACAGTGCTCACCTGGAGCAGAACTTTCAATTTAGTTTCCTCCAAAGAGAATTTAATTCTTACATACCAAAGCCACTCTGCAAAGCAAACCAACCTTTTCAACGGGAAATTTAATATAGGAAATGTGCTTTGAAGACACACTACCGCTCAAAAAAATAAACACCAAGACAAATGCAAGGCTTACAAGAATGTTACTGAAGCAAGCATCTGGTCATTGTAGTCAGTGTAGTTCAGAAGATAGCTAAGCAGCTAGTAGATGTCTACTTTTGAGGGAGTTGAGCAACTCTCTGTACTGATTGCATTGACTAGACCTCAACTCAGCTATAAGAGGAACCTAAAGGCACATACAGAACCTAAATTTTAATTCATCTTAATCCTACCTTGAACATAAATTAGCTTTTCATTCTCATAATACAAGTCTCAAGAATGTGCCTCTTTAGCCTTCCTCTTAAGAAATATGAGGATACAGTTTTAAGTATAATTTTGAAAATTGTATTTAGATGATTCAAATGTAAAAAAAAAAAACTTGAACTAAAATAATTTCAAGTGCTGAGTTCCACTTAGCTCCATAAGAATACCTTATGTTCTTTAAGGTTGTCTCTCCACAATTACTGTGATAAACTTCCCCTGAAGTGTTTGTTAGCACATGTTCTCTAACTGCAAATGAATTAGACTGCCTACGTGACCTTGGAAAGAACAGTCTTTCATATTACCTGTAACAAGGCCTGTTGTGCTACAGCCAGTTAATTCCTGATTTCTCAAGACTAATAAATAGGGTTCTTGCACTTGAAACGTTTTCCTAGACTCTTGTAGAGAAGTTATCTTGAAGAACTGGCAAAGCAATGCTTTTTGATGTTCATTAATATGCAACCTCAATGATCAACTTAACTTCTCAAGCACAAAAGAAAAATAACTCACTGAAAAGCCCTGCAAATATTTTGCCTGTTAAATGAAGCATGGAGCTAGCAGGTTGTTCAGTTGCCCATGTTCCTTTAAGTATTAGTCTAACTTCTCGACACTTAAGGTAAATGTGTTTGGGAGGAAGGGGCTCTACTCAAAGCTAAAGTCCCTGTGCACTTCATCTGAGGATGTCCATGACGGAGCAAAGGAGCTGTCCAACACAGGAACACAGAGAACCTGTGACTGTAGCACGGACTGACCATAGGGCAGCCACCAATAAACTCCTCCTATTTTTGCCACAGGTTTTCAGTTAAGGGAGAGGAAGAAAATAAAAGTTATGTCTTCAGGTATTCAGTGACAAGCAGCATCAATACATTAGGGACACACACAGGCATTCAAAGGATATCAGTGTTACATTCTTTCAGTGACACTTGAGGAAAGCAAATCCACAAAATCCCCAGAGCTCTTCCTATATTTTAAAGGGCAGCAGCATTTACAAAAGTGACTTAAAATTCCTTTGACACCAACTTTCAGTGTTTCAGGGGTTTGCTGGGATTTTTTGTTTGGTTGGGGTTTTTTTTGGGGGGAGGGGTGTTTGGTGCTGGGTTTATTAGAGTTTTTTTAAAAGTAATCAGGATAGAGTTTGGCAGGGGCTAAAATTGCTTGGGTTTCTGGGAGGAGCTGAGAACTGTATAACTTTAGACAACCTTGAAGTTACATGAACTTAATAAATTCTAATAATCCCCCCATACCTCGCACGCAAGTGTCACACTATCAGCACCAGTCTGAAACATTTAAAGTAAAATCCTAACATACCAGTAACTACCTAGTCCAAAAAGACATGCATTCCCCACCATCATGACTCTTTAAGCAATAGAATTGCTCCAGAACAAGTGTTCTGGTATTCACTATTTGCACTTTAAATATTTAACTTAAACTGATTAGTCTTACCTATTGTTTTCTTTTTATTCACTGCACTGTCTGCCTTATGCCTTTTCTGCAAGGAAACAAAACATTTCATTACACCTCATTACAGGTTCCAAAACCATTAGAGCTAGAAACATGACAAATAGCAAGATGATACATTAGGTCATTTTTTTTCTTTTTAAAGCCACACAGATCATCTAAATCCAAATGGCGGTTTGTAAAAAAAAACGTAATTTAACTTTAAAAGTGAGAATCCCCACAGTGGAAGTCAGGCTCAAGCCTGGATCAACAGCAAAAAAAGTCTCCAAAAATGGTTTTTGGAAGAACAACAGGAGGAACAATGAAAAACAGTATATTTAGATAACAGCTGCACTATGCATTCTATGTGCTGTTTGTTTAGACAGATTTCTAAATTAACTTATTCATCAGAACTCTGCAAACCAGAAAGACCTCTATTATAAACAGTTTTCAAGCAAGTTTGTGCAGATTTTCGCCCAAACAGTATGCTCTATGCTGAAGTTGCTTTCCCCCCTGCCCATTTTCAAGACCAACTAAAAAAAACACATATCTGTCAGGACTCTACACTGTCTTTCTAGCCAGGCTTTTCTAATAACAGCATAAATAAATAAGTTTGAAGAGGTAGAAACAAGTGTCCTGACTTCTACTGTTTCCTTGTTCACCACCTATAATGAAAATACTTAATTTATCTCAGTATGCTACACAAATTCTAGTTAAGTTCAGAGCTTTGAAAGTCAAAGGGACGTTTTGCTGCTGTT